TTCTTATGTGCATCTTAATGGCTTAAAGAGATATGTCTAATTTATTTTGGAGGTTAGATAACATAATATAAAATATAAAATAATATAAATATAAAATAATCCACTGGCATAGGGAAGGGGAAAGTCAAAGAAAATGAAGATGCAAGCGTTTCTAAAACTGGAGTTTTGGAAATAAACAGTACTTAAAGCATTCATCTTTGAGAGAGAGGAGAAGCTCCAGCTCCAATTTTTCTTCATGCCTGAAAGACTCCACAGGTGTTCTGTCCATCCTCCCACTGTGAGACAGCAATAATATTGTAACAATTTTGGATAAAAAGAGTTTTTGAAAAGTATAATAGCTGATGTTACTGGAAAACACATTTTTATTTCTCTAATTAAGGTGGTATTGATTATAATATAGCATTGATATTTCACGTATAAAGTTTACTCACAACAAATGACATCACAAAAAAATTAAAATTTTTGAAAGCAGTCTATAACACATTTTTTTCTTAATGCTGAAAAAAACTTTTGACTGGAAATGAAATAAATGAAGGGTGTTTTTTGTATAGTACTGTAAATTGGCCAAAACTCCAGTTTGCAGCCTCTTGTTTGGTTCATTTATGGTCTCTTATAAATTGGTGTGAAAGTAGCTCTGATTCAACGTCCCTGTTAATTATCAAAGGAGAAAGTAGTCATTTAAGCATAGGATATGGAGAAAAGATGTTACAGTCTGCACTAGCTGAGAGTAAAGAATGGGAAGAAGGAAGCTTGTCTTCTCTGCTGAATTATTTATTTACTCTCACCGCTCCAGAGATTCAGGCACAGTGGTTCCTGGTAAGTCTACACGCAATGGTAGAGCTGGGGTGAGCAGTAAGTCAAGGCTCCACAGTGCTATCTTAACTGAGGCTGACCCTGACCAGATTCTGCAAACTCACTGCAAAGCAGAACATGTCTACTGCTGGTGCTCACTGTGTCTATATGACCTTTCCTACAGCTGCATTATTCCCACTTTTCAGAAAGTGATTTTTCTATAATCTCTACATTTATGCATCGTTAGATGTTTCTATCTACAAGGCCTTCTAAGAAGTTAAATGGCAACCTGTATTTAGCAACAACCCGGCGATGTGCCCTGTTCCACCAAAGTGATGATGTCACAGCCAATCCTGTCCCTTTTTTCTTTAAATAAGCCCCCTCTTTGGGATTAGGAGCTTTCCCTGCTAAACACAGATCATCCTAAAGGAGCCATGGCATCTGCTGGTGCTGCTTTTAGCAGTAATCCAATCACGTCTTCACTCACTGCAAGCAGAGAACTTAGGGTGAGAGTGAAAAGCTCAGGACCTCCTCCCTCTTCCCATTCACTCCATCCCACGCTCCACTTCACAAAAAAGCCGCAGTTTTAGCCTGCGAGGTGTCGGTCACATGACAAGAGAAAGGCAGCTGCAGAGAGACTATAGTGGACTCCCAAAAGCTCAATTCGGAATACGCTGTCCCTTAGTTTTATGTGCTAAAACTTAAGAGTGAGGTACATGTGATTAAAAGAGCAAGACTGACCTTTAGACTTTAGACACTATACAGTTGTATGATTTGCATGACCTCTGCAGCAAACTATTTTTAAAAATAATTTGTTTTGCAATATTATGCACAGTTACTTTACATTTGTTTAACTTGAAAAATACAAAAATAAATAAAATTGTAATAATGGCAAATGTTTAAACACTCTACTGAGTCAGTACTTAATAACATCCCCTTTCACAGATATCACAGCTTGAAAACGCTTTTTGTAGATGCTAGGATTTTTTTTCCATGATACTCTTGGCCCGTCTTGCACACCCCTAAAGCATCCTAGATCCGCCCCCATGCCTAACAGTTGGCAAGGTGTTCTTTTCATCAAATGCTGCTCCTTTTTTCTTCAAACATATCTTTAGTGATTATCTCCAAACAGTTTAATTTTTATTTCATTAGTCCACAACACTTTTTTCCAACACTTGTTTCCAAAATAACTCTGGCTTATCTAGATATTGTTTTTTGCATTCTTCAGATGTTGACTTTTGGTAATAAGGTTGCAGATAAGGTTTTCTTCTGAGGTCTCTACCATGCAGATCACATTTGTGTAAGCAAAGCTGCACAAATATTGGTCTACCAGCTTTTGCATTGACTTGCACCGTTCACCTTAGCTGGCATTTCATAATTACATTTAGGACAGTGGAAATTGTGAGCTGAAAGCACTTTGATACCTTTTTATAGTCTTGCCCTGCTTTGTAGGCATCAATTACGGTCTGGAATTGTCATCAGCTGACAATTCCTAAGGACAGTTCTTGACATGTCAAACCACTCCCAACAAGTCAATTAAGGTCTATCCAGTTAATTAAGATCTGATTCTACAACTGGAAGGGATCCCAAACACATGCCACAATTATATCTTTTAAGCTAATATAAGTAACTTAAAAAGTAAATGTTTTTTTATTTTGTTTGCTGCAGATGTTGTGTTTACTTTTCTCTCCAAAAATTAAGAAAATATGTCATTTGGCTAGGGGTGAGCAAACTTTTGATTACAACTGTCCATGTGATAGTCAATTTGAAGCAATTCAGGATTAAAAGACTGTTAGAGGATAAGAGGCCTATTCTTTCTCTTACTGCCAATGCATCTATCAGCAAAGCTATCCTGGAAAGTCCAGTGAAAGATTTGATTTGTTGCTGGTATGAGAAGGAAAAGAGCAGCTTAGCTGACCAAAGGTCAGTGGATTGTGATTAATCCTCCTTGTATAGTAAGGTCATACAACCTGTGAAGCTCTGTTACAAACTCTGACTTGTAACGGAAGCCTCGAGCTTTGCTTTTGGAATTATGCCACAGTTCATGCACAAGATATTCTCATCCATGCTTAATTGTCATCCATTTTTCTATAAGAAAATTCTGTTGCACAGGAGAATTAATGCTTAAACGCACAGTAGTACCACTTTAAAATGTGAACATTGTTTTTCTAAGTGCAATTAAGCAGTTGTGATGATTGGAACAAGCTGAGAAATTGATCCAGAAAGCACCATGAGGTGGAATGTCACTTTACTCATGTGGTGTCACACAAATTATTCATAAGCAAAGGTAACACACTCATTCATCACATGATATCAGGTTAAAAATGGAAGAAAATATATTAAACTAGCAAATGTTGGAGTCAGTGGGCAATGTCATCTGTTGCCCACTATAGATATATATTATGTATAAATCTTTACATCATGAGGACATTTTATAAGATGTGCTAATTCAAGAGTGAAATCATAAAAAATATTTTTTTCAAAACTTTCTTGTATTCAGTGTCTGTGGTTTACATCCAAATTGGAGTGGAATGCTGTATTATCTCTATAACCAAATATATGGAGTATGTTGACAGCTTGAGCTCTTTAACATTCTCATCACTCTCTGCTCTGAGCCTTTTCTGCAATGACAAATTGTGGAATTAAGTGTATGTTTGCATGATTTTTGGCACATTATGGGTTGCTGGCATTTGCTTGTTTTGGCTCATGGCGTGTTTAAGCTAGCTATTGAGCGTACACTGCCGGGTGTGTTCCATCGAGTGTCCGTCCCAGAGTAATCGAGAGTGGCAGTCTGGGAAACAGAAAGGACTCCTGCTCTGATGCTTCAGCCTTTAATCTGCTTTAGGGGATTGCTAATGCATGTTTTTATAGCAGACAGTTGGAACTAGTGAGAGACTCAAACAGGAGAGGAGAAAATAGTGAGCAACTGCCGGGCTGCGGTTTATCCTGGGTAAATCCTCAGGGTGGCAAGCCGTGCAACAGATCTCCCTTTTGCTTTTTGCCAATCATGTCCTCATGCAGACACATGCCAACACCAACACGAAACCACAGAAAGAAAGATAAGAAAGGTCCATGCAGTAGAAAATCATTTATTAACAGGTTGGGGAATGTTTTTAAAAATATGTTATCATGGTTTTTAGTCAATTTTATTGTGAATTCTAAAGTGTGAACGTTGACACGAGAGAAATTGCATCACTTTCCACGTGTTAAGGTTTTAAATATCCTACATTTGAGGTGATGTTCTATAACGTTAAACTGTCATATAAGAATGGCATGTTATAGACTGTTCTCAGTTCTGTACAACTGCAGTAGAGTTATAGCTTACAGGCTCCACCAAGTGGAAAATAAGGGTATTTAAAACATTGTATATGTTGAGCATTGTATGTTGTACTAACACTTAAACACATTCCCATTGAGAAATGCAAACGTCTGTATTTTGACCCTGTATTTTACACTGATACAAATTTACTAAAACTACAACTGCTACTATAATAATAATGATGATAATAATAATAATAATAATAATAATAATAGTGATCATAATACATTAACATTTTATAATAACAGGCCCTAAAAAATAGAAACTTAATCATTATAAAAAGACCATTGAAGAACAGGATGAAAGGAGGCTAACAAATTATTCAGAGAAACAGATGGACTACAGTTTGTAATTGTAGAACTATAAAGTGCACCTGTATGGTAAGTGAAGCTAATAAGCTAATGAGTGTAGAAACAAGGAGGTGGTAATATTATGGCTGATCAGTTTAGATTTTAGTGCAGGGGTGTCAAACTCAATCACTACAAGGGCCATATTAAAAAAAAATGCTTGCTTTGATGCTTCATTGCAGTGATTCACATCAGTGATGCTCTGTGTCCTTGTTATATTTTAACCTTCATATGCTGTTTATGTTTTACTGTTTTTTTTTATTTTTTTAATATTAGTACACATTTTAATGTTTTGACATTTTGAAATGTAGCTGTGCTTATGTGTTTTCCTTTTTTGTGATTTCTTTGCACAGTGTCCTTGGGTACCTTGAAAGGGGCTTGTAAATAAATTATTCTTCTTATTATTATTTACCTGTCCAGGGTGTATCCTGCCTTCCGCCCAGTGACTGCTGGGTGCCAGCACCACCCTGCAACCCAAAAGGATAAGAGGTTTAGAAATGTGTATGTGTGTATTATTATTATTATTATTATTATTATTATTATCATTACATTTTTTTCAATTGCTGAATAGGCGTATGGTTTTAGTCTAAGCAGATCTCTCAAGAGAACCACAAGTCCTGATTTAATTTGCAAAACTAAACATTTGCCTTGAAAATGCTCAAACACACCTCACGTTTGGTTCAAAAGCAACATGAGGACTGCTGCAAAACTCCCATGTTGATCTAAAGAGTGTTTAATTGGGGTTTCCGACACAATATTCAGGTATTCATGAAAAGCAGTGCTGTAAGTTTAGAAAACATTTCATCTAAAAAACAATGAATGAGGGTAGTGTGGAAATTGAGAAATAGTTGTTACTGTGGACAAACAGCTCGAAAGGCCTGAAAAGACTGGGTTTTAAAAACCTCCCACATTAAGAAGCGGCTCTGTAAAAGGCCAGTGGAGGGCAGAAACACGCTGTTCATCCTTCATCCAGCTGTAGAAAGAAGAAGACGGAGCGGGAAGCGGAGTCCGGAAGCCTGTGTGACCTGATCTACACTGCTCGGTTTAAAATATCTGCTGAAGTTGGGACTTTTCGGGCTGGTTGTAATGAACTCAGACGCCCATATTTTACTGCCACTGACCTAAAACTTGGGAAACAACCGGGCGACAAATTAATTTCGGTAAGAAGAAGCCTTTATTAAGAGCGAGCATCATATGTCCTGTCAACAGAGCTGTCACTTAGCTCGAACTGAGCTGTTAGCCAGAAAACAGTTCAGTATAGCTAACCGCTAACTGGCTTTCTAGGCAACATTTCTAAAATGTGTTATATGGCAGACTTCTAAAGGATCACCAAGACTGCACAGTTGATTATATGATTAGATAGCTAGGTTAACTGTGAAGCTTCTGTGAACTGTCACTGGTAACGTTAGCATGTACCGTGATTCCTTCTTAATTAGCTGGGTTAGCGAGCTTAGCTGCAGCTCGCTTGGTTTCATTGTTACAGTAGCGGCTAAGCTAGCTTTAGCGCTCAGAGCTGCGGCAGACTAACTGGGTTAAGTTGGAAGTTAACTTGCAGGCAAATTGACTTTTATTTATCGTTAGTTAATAATGTTCTGCTGTAAGCTTTAAAAATTTGGCTGCGGTTGACTGTTTTTATTTTTTCGACACCACCAGCTAACAAACAAGCTAATACGAACGTCTGTTTCACTGGGTTCTTTAGATAGCTAGGTTAGCTATCTAGCCTGGCTGCTATAAGACCCAGTTAGGTCACTATCATATTTCATATGTACTTGACAGGTAAGCATGCGTCAGCTGTTTCTCTAGCCGTCGTCTTCTTTGTGTCCTCCGCAGGTTTAACGCTGTGGATGTTGCCGAGGCAGTGCTGCCCAGGTCAGCGGGGTGGACGGCATGTCAGCGTGAGGGACAGTCAGTGAGGCGAGTACAGATGACAGCGGTAGCTCTGGCTGTTGTGTTTTGAAATTTGGTTCAACTGCCATTGTAAAAATAGACCATTCTGAATGAGAAGGTTACTGCAAAGCATTGCCCATGCTTTAATATAGAGCTGGGCGATATAGCAAAAAAACATAATTTTACGATATTTCATGTAATTTTCACAATACACGATATGACACGATAATTATTTTTGATATCTAAAGTGTTGGAATGGGCAAAAAAGCCAGTGGTTCCACATTAAAAAATACTAACAAAACTAAGTATTTTAATTGAATGTTGTACATTATATGTTTTACACTAAATCCAGTTTAATAGACCTAATTATGCTCTCTTTTGTAATGAAACATGCAGTTTGTCAGTGTTCCTTAAGTGCCAATGATATCCATGATATACCTAGAAAAGCGTATTGTGACATATTATCACACTTGAATATGTGATCATTGCCTTATATACATGCTCAGAAATAAAAGTGCCAGCTAAGGGATTTCAGTGGTTCTCAAACCATTCCTCAGGGTCTCCCAGATGGGGCATACTTTTATTTCAACCTAAATCGCCATGCACAGGGATGGAGAAAAAATGTGTCCCTGAGGACTGGTTTGACAACCATAGGACAGTGATGCCAATTTTGGATCCCTAAAGAACCTTTCAGTGGATGGCTCTTGTGAGTGTGAAGAATCTTTGCACAATGTAAAGGTTCCACACCAATTAAACATTTTTCCTAAAACTGTATATACAGGCCAAGGGCCATTTAAGAGCATTTTTTATCCATACAGATGCATTTTTATTTGCTGCATATTAGCTATGTATGTCTTCTGATGAAGTTTCTGCTGAACTGAAAATCAATGTGCAGCATAAATTGATAAGACAGTTTGTTTGCCCTCCTCTTAGCCTCTGAGCTGTAATAAAAAAAATATTTTCAGGAATTTATGCAAGGAAATTCATTAATGTAGTAAAAATGAATTTAGAGCATAAAAATTTGTTCTAAGAAAACATTTGGAATCTTTTAGCATTTGAGAATGAGCTATGATTTTAGATTCTGAAGTGCAGTGTCTCAAGAGCCCAGCAAGGTAAGAAGAAAAAAAAGCAAGTGAACTGCTACTTTGCATGTTTTAGGCATTTGATTGGCAGCATAGTTGCAGTAATACCAAGTTAGTTAATGGAATTGTCCCTCAACCTGCAGGTATAAGTGCTGATGAAGTGGAACCTTTTTGCACTTTTAGATGTGAAGGACTAGAAAGATGATGTTTAATGGGTCATAGTGCATCATCTCACTCAGCTTTTTCTCCTACCAAATAAGCAGTTCAGTCGCTAGCTGTTGATTCATTTGCTTTTTTTAGAGCAGGTGTATGTGACATCTACCTGTATGCTTTTATATTTAATTATGGGGCTTATGCAAACGACTACCTTACTGGTAATTTGGTAGCTAGTCATCTGTTGACTTCATTAGTATTGAGGTTATAACACTATAGAATTGTGCCTAACAGCTCAAATAACTGCATGAATATTCTTATATATTTGGTAGCATTATGTTTTTCTGTACTGGATAATTTGTGAGTGGTTCTTAGTAATCACTGCATCACATATGTACTGGCTGTGTTTATGCATGGTAGATCAAACATGATTAAAAAAATGAATCATATTATTAGTTTTGAAGGTTAATTTTACTAATGGAAAACATATGAATTGGCATTTAATTGTATTTATTTTACTTCTCTTTTGCAGTTAGACAAGAATGCAGTCTTCTGGGCACCGGCTACGGGATGTGGAGCAGCATCATCCCTTGCTGGGCAGCGGGGAGGAGGAGGTGGCAGTGGGCCGTATCTGGTTCATTCAGGATGGCTGTGGCATGGTGTGCGCCTTCATGACCTGGTTTCTGGTGTTGTACGCAGAATTTGTGGTGAATTTTGTCATGCTTCTTCCCTCTAAAAGCTTCTGGTACTCTCTAATCAACGGGGTGGCGTTTAACTTTCTGGCTGTGCTGGCACTGGCATCGCACCTACGCACCATGCTGACAGATCCGGTAAGACTTTAGGGGCAAGATTTAACAAGATTCCCGAGGGGGTTATTTTAATGTGACCATTGGAAGGGTCATCTGTTGAGAAATGTGCTGAGTGAGAGGCAGTGTTGAGCCAAGACTGCTTGGCCACATTTGCAATTCTAAACTGTTGATGCAGAATAATCCTCTACTTGGTTTCACCCTCTGTGGTTCTCTCTAATCCGTTTTTATCAGGCTCTTTACACAATGAAATGTTATGTGTTATGAGAGTGTTTCATAGACATTGAAGGACAATATGGATTAAATTGTGAAGCAGCCACCATGTACTGACTACACAATTCAACAAATGTCGTTAAAAATAGCTCTTTTTGTATTTAAGAAAGCATCCATAAACATCTTTTGGAGGCAGATACTTGGGCACATGCACTGTGATTGTTATTTCATCACACCCAGCAACTGTGTGTAACCCTGTGGTTTTTAATATCCTTGCTAGAGTGTGGAGCCAAGAATTGTAGAATATCTTCTGTAGTTTCTTCACTGTTTTATGAAGTCACAATTCAAGCCATTATATGCTATAAGCAATGTTTCTGTCACATGTAGTCAGAGCAACTTTAATGTCCATTCTGTATAACTGTACTAGCCATTAGACTGACTAATGGAAGGTCATGTTTTTCAGGGTGCTGTTCCTAAGGGTAATGCCACTAAGGAGTACATGGACAGCTTACAGCTGAAACCTGGGGAAGTCATCTACAAGTGCCCCAAATGCTGCAGCATCAAGCCAGAGAGAGCCCATCACTGCAGGTAAATAAATAATTTGTTTTTCTTTTTAATAGTTAGCTGTAGAAGTAGGTTAAACAATGTTTTATTCCTTCTAAGTTAAGCTCATACTCATCTTAACAGTAGTCTCTTAGTAGTCACTCACAAAGTATTAAGTGGGTGACTACTACTAAGAAATCACTGCCCACAGAAAACATTATTATTTACATTTTTATTGACATTGTCAGGAAAATAAATTAGTTTATTGTCCGTTTTTATTGTTCTAGTATCTGCAAGAGATGTATCAGGAAAATGGATCATCACTGTCCCTGGGTGAACAACTGTGTGGGAGAAAACAATCAGCGATTCTTTGTCCTTTTCACTGTAAGAAGGGTGTGGGAGGTGCTATACTCTTTTGTTTAGGAAAGGTTCTACCTTGCGATCACTTGGTACAATGCAAACTATGGTAGTCAAATCTAGGTTAAACATTAGCTGACATTTGAATTTTTGTTATGGCTCAGGGAATTTGGTTTGCTGGGTCTTGTTATTTAATTTTTTTAAAAGGTCACATACAGACAGTAATAATTAAATAACAATGAAACAGACATTTGCTTTCAGCCAAGAGTTTATGTGATAGTGGATTATCTCAACTGTCCTTTTTTGTTTTGTAAAGTATTAGTAAACATTTAATACGTTGTTTTGTGTCTTCTGTTTGAGTATATTGCTGCTGCTGTTGATTTGTCTTTCCCTTTTCTGTGCAGATGTACATAGCCTCAATTTCCTTGCATGCCCTCTGCCTCAGTGGTTTCCATTTCTTCACCTGTGTCAAAGTACAGTGGAGCGGTGAGTCATAGTGATACAGCTTATAAATCTTGGCCAAACAAAAGGTTTTTACTCAAAGGTAACCAGGTGAAAAAAGAGAAAATTTCATGATGGAAACACAGAAAAAAGTATGTGCCGTGTATTCTGAGGTGTTAACTTGTGTGAGTGTGACAGCTCATTTACTGATAAACCGTTATTGCTTCAAGGCTTTAATACCTCAGATGTGCTCTAGAAATGCATGTATAGTCATATGTTTACATACACTTCTAAAATTCATATTACTCTTGAGAAAGCACTGTCTTTTTTTTCTTCTACTTTAGAGATTTTGTAGAAGGAAGGTACCAAATCATATTGGTTTTCCCTAAACTGAAGTTGTAGCAGAATCATCATGTCAGTCAATCACTTAATCATAATTACAATTGATCTGAAGCAAGAAACATTAATACCTGATTGTTTACACATATAAACAAGTAAATCCTGGTAAGAATGTGAGATATGTAATGTGTTATACTGTGGTTTATCAAAAGGCTGTATTTTTTTTATCATTTGCTAAAGTATTGTAATTGCCCATCATCTGACTTGGTTCAGAGATTTGGGTTCAGTCTTGCATTGTCCAGGTCAGACAATGCAGGATGGAAGGAAAGATGTCATGGACATGACCTTACTTTTGCTAAATTCTTTGTTTTACAGAGTGCAGTGATTTCTCCCCTCCTGTGGCTGTCATGCTTCTTATTTTCCTTTGCCTGGAGGCTCTCCTTTTCCTTACGTTCACTGCTGTCATGTTCGGCACGCAAATTCACTCCATCTGTAATGATGAAACGGTGAGTCAAGCAGAACAAGCATAGAAATTAGGGCCAATTTTGTTGCTAATGACTGATTGAGATTAATTAGATATTAGATATATTACATAAAATGGGCTAATTATAGGGGTGCAGGAAAAACTTGATTCTTAGATGCATCGCGATGCAGACGTGGACGATTCTGAATCGATTCACAAATGTCAAAAATCGATTTTCTAAATATGTAGTTTATAACGTAATGTTGGCGGAACGCAAAAGGCGGAGCTTGGAAGTGCGGAAGTGCAGCGCCCAGGCAGTCTGTGACGGTACATAACAAAAACACAACTGGATGAGCGAGAAATCCGACCGGCTCCCTCTGCATTAAAAGCCAGGTTAGATCAGGAGTCACAACACAAATGATAAGAAGAGACATTTTGCCTTTCAACAAAGTCAAACCACCTTGGGAGCCACAACATTTAATGTCCAGTACGTGTTAATGTCGTAGTATGGGCTAAAAATATAAACGAGAGCGCAGATTTACTTCGTTCTGCTTTAAGCTTTAGCTATAGCCGCTTTCCTCCCATCTCCGCCAGAAAACTTTTCTTCAAAACTAGAAGAGTTTCTTGTAAAATGTCTCAGCATCCGGCTGTTTTACGAGGCTGAAGTCGCTTCTCATTCGCCAGCTTCTTGTTCTAATTTTCACCTTAAATTCTGCCTTACGCGCCGAATGTAACTGCTGCACCATTTAAGGTGGAACAGGAAAATTCGAAAGAGAAGCGAGTTCATTTTCGCAACTTTTTTTTAACTCTCGTTGCAGATTTAACCAACTGCGCTGCTTATAAATGCGAATAAGTCCTCCAAATGTTTGTCTTAATCTCTGTTTTTTCGTTCGCTACTGGCGAGGCCAGACCTCGGTGCTGTGTGACCTGCTGTCTGCTGTCTGTTCTCGGTCGTTGAGAACCAGGGCTTTCGCGCTATGCTGCACACTTTGGAGCCGAGATTCAGCGTCCAGTCTCGAAAATACCAAAGTTGTAAGATCACTAAAGAAAACGGGAAGGATGGCTGTAACGTGCTGCGTGGACACCCATCACCACTGAATCTTATTTCAGAGTAACAGTGCATTTTATCGCAGATGAGTGGCAGCAGTGTCTCTGAATGAGAGCCTTCTAGTTCACTTGCCACATCACTTCCATTTGATTTATTAATAAAAGATATTTTAGATATTTAAAGCAAAGTATTTGTAATGATCCATAATGCATTTAGATTATGGATCATTACAAATACTTTGCTTTAAAACTACCAAGTCCTCAGACAGTAGGAAGATAGAAATCCTGCATAAAGAAAAAAGATGCATCGAGATGCGTCGATAATCGTTTTATAATCGCATCGCAGCCCTCTGAATCGTAATCGAATCGAATCGTGAGGTGCCTAAAGATTCCCACCCCTAGCTGATTAGATACTGTTAATTATCCACTGTTAATTATCCACAGCTGTCAGACAATGGACGTTAAGAATAATGGTTTTCACAAGTTTTAAGCCATCAGTAACAGTGTGAATGCTGTAGAACTCAGTGTATTTAAAAATGTTAGTTTCAGTGATGCAATCTGATTGATTGAGAAGCGTTCTTTGTGATAACAGCCAGACAGCACAGACTGACGGACAGTTTTCACAATTGTATCATTCTGCTGAACACCAGTTGTTAAGTAATGACTGCTTTGCGGCTAATCGTTTATGTTTCTACTTCATCACATACAAAAAAAAGACATTTGTTGGATATTTGACTTTCTCTTCTCGATTTCTCATCCAATAAACATCCAGAAATTATCTGTCCTACGTTTTCCCAGTCCAGAGAAAACACAAAATACAAACAGTAACCAAATGTGTTTAAAGAATATCTGTCGTTAAATTTTGCTGAAGTTTCAGAAACGCAGCTTATTGACGCTTTAGTTATTAAGGCACTGTTTAAAAAGTGCACAATGTGGACATTTTATTTCCCATGTATTTGTCTTGACTGCAAATGATTTGATGTGATTTTTGCCTTATTTAAGCTAAATACATGGGGAAATGCACTGTTTAGATGGTTACGTAATTACTAAAGCATTGGTGATACGTGTTTCCAAAACATTGTGTTCAACAAAATAAGACTGACGTTTTTGAAATATATTTGGTTGTAGTTATGTGTCTTTTAGGAGTGAGAAAATGTAAGTTTGATTATTATTATTGAATATTTATTTCATAAGAAATCGATACGAGAACATTGAATATCCATTGAATGTGCAATATAAAGCCTTTCACTTTACCATGCTACGTGTAAGGAGTTGCCAGTATTAAAGCGTATTTGATGTAATATTTGGGGCTTGATATAATATTTGCGTTCTTTTTTTATTCATTTTATTTTTGTGACTGAATCACAACCGTGATGTTATTCGTGATACACAGCCGTTAAGCCTTCTTTTGCTTAAATGATGTTCAGTGATGTAATAACTTAGACCAGATTTCAGTTGACAACCTCTGTGATTTGGGATTTTACATGAGCATGAGAGTGTTTTGATATATTTGTTTCATTGCCTGTCTGTGGCATTCCGCATGTTTTTTGCTTATAGGAAATCGAGAGATTGAAGAATGAGAAGCCAACATGGGAGCGGCGAGTACGCTGGGAGGGAATGAAGGTAGTATTTGGAGGTCCTCCCTCTCTTCTGTGGTTCAACCCGTTTGCTGGACTGCGCCTCCGGCGCCTGCTGATGGTCCACACTCGTAAGGGTGGCTCTGAGTTCTCCGTCTGAAAAGGAAATCTTCTTTTTCCCAGCATGTCAGTGTGCCATCATGCCTGTAACCCCACGCACTGAGGACAAGGCACATCTCTCCTAATGGCAATGCAGGTAGGGGAACACAATGAAGAGAATGTGCAATAGACTTAGAGTGGCCCCAGTGAAGGTGAGGGGCCAGGACAGTAAAGACTCCCTAATAGACCACTGGACCTCAACAGAAGGATCATTTTTACCTTTGCTTATGTTGGCTGTGCCTGACCTGTCTCCATGAACATTCGAACAGATTTTTTGTTTGTTTTTAAGGGACTGTTTTCCTGTGTATTATTGTGAAGAAACTGACTCAATGCTTTAAAAAGTTACAGAAAACATCAAGAAGTATAAGGGTATTTGTGTCAAAGTAGTCATGTCCTTTCCAATGAATGAATCTTAGTCAGTCAAAGAAAAATATCATGGACCAAATTGGAATTTGAACATAATGTCTTATTCGCCAAGAAAGTTTTCAAACATCCTTATGCATTAAGTGCTTGTTATTAGACTGCAATAAAATGCTAGTTATCCTGTCTTAGGTTTAGAATAATCAAAACTTAAATCAGGTACAAATGACATTATTTTAGCTCCTTACATTGTAGAGACAATACTACATTATTAGCGTTGTTTACACAATCTTTAAATCGTGTAACTGGCACTGAATTCTTAGACTGAGTATTTAGACTGCTGAACTATCTCCAGGATCACAAATCATTTTTAGGGTATATAAAATTTAAGCATGACTTACTCCGTTTTGCACACTTGAATTCAGCCATCATAGCAGTGCGCTCAGTCAGTCCCAGCTGTTGCTTCATCTAACTGCACTCATCCAGGCATTTCTGTTTAACATGTAAGGTTGAAACTTGCTAAGCCTCATAATAACTTACATGGTCTTCTTCATTGCTCCTTGTGTCATTTTCAGCAGCACACAGACGGTACGAGTCCTTGATTAAGGAATGACCTGCTGTTATCAGTTCTGTGGCTGCTCCTCACTCTGTGTTTTTCACTGTATTTTTCACTTCTCTGTAAGATGAGAGCTTTTACCTCAACAGTTGATAGATTTTTTTTTAATGACTATTCTTCAAAAATAATTATTGCAAATGAACCGTGTTTTATGAACTAAATGGTTTTATGCAGTAGGTCTAGAGCAATTTTGATTAGTATTGAATTTGGCATAGATCTTGGACTGACTGGGCTAACTTCATATCAGTAACAAAAAACTTTTAGTATATTAGAAATGAAACTTAAGGGCATGGGTTCATACTGTCACAGTCCTAAGTAAACCTACACAAGGTGTAGGTTTAAAGGTGAATTTCTGCACAATTCAATCAGAGATGTAAACAAACTCATTCAGAGTGTTTTGAATGTGAAATGGTGAAGACACCTGTAGGGAGACTTAACGACTGAACAAGAGAAATTCAACGACTTGTGTTTGCAGTGGTGGTGATAGGAACCAGTAGTTGTAATGTATGGTGCCATTTTTTTGCTATTCCAAAAGACCCTAGATGTGTCTTCTGAGTGTTTTGCCTTACAAGTCTCTGTCTGTACCTCTTTGCCACAAATGGATTAAAAATGTTTTAGGCTAAAACCTCTAAAAACTAATGCAAAACTGTCTCAGGAAACATTTACAACCATTTAATAATGTAAATAATAACATGTAGTAAAATAATATTAATTAAATGGACACATGGAATGCACTAGCACATTTTCAGTACTTTCTGTTAGCAAAAATTGCAATATAAATGACATTGTTCTTCAGTGGGATTTTAAATGTGTAATAAAAAAAAGTTGACTAATAAAATGCTACACCAAAAGTAAAAGGCAACTGGCTGTGTAGCACAATGAGTCATGCTTTATGTTTTGACATTGTGGTATAAGTGTAACGGCAGCGTGACTGCACTTACCCAACTCACGTTATTTATGTCATTTAATTCTAACAAATTGCCAAAATAAAAATAATGAATTCAGATTGTGCATCCCAATGTCAGATGTTTAGTTCCTATCACCATTTTGAACAATTGTGACTTGGCAAGTTTCAAGAACAGCACATTTCACATCAAAGGACTTTGTTTACTTTGTTTACATCTTAACGATTTAAGCGTACAGAAATGTAGAAAATCGATGGAATTGCCGTTATTACATTTTCATTATACAAAATACAGAATATGAAACAGATCCAAGGATCACCAGTTGCCCTATTTGCACCAACACAGCTGAATCTTTCCAGGATTTTGCCCTCTTTAGTGTCATGACAGTTGACAGTATTGGTTCTTATGGGTTCTATACGTGCCATTTGACGTTTTCAGCAACTTGCTAGTCCTGTTGTGATGGTTTCTTAACAGTTTATTTCCAATCCCAGTTCTAGAGAAACTCTTCCCTGCTCTAACACACATGATTCTGCCCGCTGGCTATTTCATGAGCTGTGAGATGAGATGTGTTGAGCATTGAAATAAGAAACTGGAAATACTCCCTGAGTGGAATTGAGAAGTAATGCTCTCTAGGCGATGATTGTTGGCTTTTCTTATTGATCACCCATTTTAAGCCCTTAACCCATTCTATCTGACATCTCTGTTTTGGACGGTTTGTATATCTTTTGTGGAAAGAGAAAAAGTGGACAAATCCAGTCAACCAGAATGTAGTCTACCCTAATTTAAAATAGAATTTGTGGAATATGACTTGGCAGTTCATATTTTTTTATTGTTTACCTGACACAATGTTTTTAAGTAAAACCTGATGATTAATCTAATTCTGTAATGCAGGATGTACACCATGCTGTTGGGGGGAGGGAACAGAGCTCACTACACATCTGCAATCCTTGATTGGGTTATACTGGTTGAAATTCTTTGGGGGAATCTTGCCTTTTTATTAGCATGTATGTCACTAAGAATGTATATTGTGCTTTTTATATCTTACTTTAAGTATTTAGGAAGAAGAGGGAACATTTTATTGACACTAAATATATGTGCTACAATGCTTTCCTCACTACAAAAAGAGTACTGCCTAATATAACTGCATTGATTCCTTGAACATATGGCTTGGCCATCATTGCCCAGCATTGCTGTGTGAACTCTCTGTGTGAGAGTCAGGTTCCTGTGCTGCAGAAGTGTGTATTAAGTGTATTAATCTTCAGTATACAAGAGAAAAGCAAGGGAAATGCTTTTTGCACATGAACTTCCTGCATAAAAGGGTTGATTGTAGAAGCAAAGAGTAGAATATCAAAGCTTTATAAACTTGTAGGTCAGATGATCAAGTTTAAAAAAACCCCATGCCAAGTGTGATAACTGTGGTCAGGATTATGTCTAGAAGTATAATACAATCACAGAGAAGGTTGATAGCATTATTCTTTACAACTGGAAAGCAAACACAGATTACATTATATACAGTGTGAATGATTACAGATTTATCAAGAACTTTTCAAATGTGTCATAAAATAATTGTTCTTTCATATGTAAAGCTCTTTTGCATAATAAAGTTGTTAGGTTCAGAACTGTTGAAAGCTTTACAATTAATTTCATTCACAAACCGAAAGCAATCAGTGGGAAACACTGATGTCATCACAGTACACTAAACTTTATCACGCTGGTTTTAAGATGGACAGTGGTTTTGTGATGGAAACTGTAACTTTCCTAAGCAAAGTTAATTAGTATAACAAACTCTATTTTGATATTTTGTTTTGTGGTTTGTGCACATTTTCATGTTTTGGCTTAAATGGCTGTGACCAAATGGCACAGTGGGAAAACTAGTGAGCCAGTTGCTTCTGACAATGGGGCCTTTTGCTAGTTAATTTATTAAGACAACATTTTCGTATTATATATTTTGTTACTATATTCAAGACTTTCCACTGAAATAGTTACTATATAATAGTCAGCTATCAAGTTTACATTAACTTTATTATACAGAACCCTGAACTATCCAATACACCTTCTAATGGAGATGATGCCTACTTTCCCTTTTACTCAGGCAGATTACCTTGATGGAACCACCAAATTCTGGTGGAAGTCATCTCTGAGGACTCACAAGAGGAGCAATTCTTAGTCTAATTCATTAAAGTATTAAGGTAGTGATTTAACATTCAACAGGAAGAGTAGAGAACTGAGCCAAATGCATGCACCTGCACTAACCATCCATTCACCACCACTGTATAGACCCTTTAAAGTACAGGCAAAACATAATGGACATTTCCACTAAATCAGCAGGAAAAAAAAGGACCACAACCTTGAGACTTTGACAACCAGTGGGGGCCCACAATAAGAGCAGAAAGTCCAAGATCTACGGCAACAGTGGGTTCCAAATGAGACCACTAATGAAAATGCTTATATTTTGCACTGCTTTTCAGTTTCATACACTTTGTATTACAAATGATATCATTATCCTAACAAGTTCACAAACAAGTAGAATATTTTAGATTATTATTAGTGTTCCTCTTTTACTTTAATGACTGCATGCACTTGAGCACTCAAGTTTGTGCAAAGGCCCTTGAGTAAATCAAATCCATCTGGGCATGAGCTTCAATCGAAGAGATAAGACTAAAGAAATCTGACCCTTTTGTGCATTACTTAACATGATGAGTGTCACAAATTTGCTTAAATAATATTAATGTAATACTATCATAATAACATTTCTTCTTAAATTTACTCATCATAGCTTCTCTTTAAAAAAATTCCGAATTCTAAAAGCTTCTGTTGTTTATTTTCAGGTTTAAATGGGAAAAAAAAATCCCAGATTTCCCCCCAGTTCACAAGAAGCACCTCTGTCAGAGCTTGGAGCGCACGCCCCGAGTTAAATTAAAATGAATTTTCTCCATAGTAAAAAAAAGTAATGACGGATGTGTAATGGTATGAACAATTACATTGAAATGGAAATTTTTAGAACTGGTGATTGTTCTGCAACGTTGTAGAATGGCCAAGGAATATGAAGTCCAGATATGCCCCATGACAATCTCATTATAAATCTGCCATATTTATCATTAAATCTTCAAGATGTTTTGTCATTCATCTATGAGATTATGAAGCCTCATAGATGATGCCAAAAAGTCTAAAGGAGCCTACCGCAAGTTCATCTGGCTTGACTTAGTATTACTACTACTCCACCCTGGGTGACCAAAACCCACACACTCCAATCTTCGCATTCCTACCTTTTAATTCTTTAAAGAACTAGAAACTTTTCTGCTCAAATGTGAACGCTAGGATCCTGTACTAAGTACACAATGCAAAGTCTTGTGAGCCGATGCAAAATGGCATTACGGTGCAAACACTATTTGTCATTAAACCCTTTTAAAATTAAAACTTAATACATACTAAAGAGAAAAGAGACACTACATACCTGATCTAACCCCTTCAAGTAGATGTTTGTATGCATTGTAATGCTGTATTTTTAAAGTGTATATATAATATATATATATATATATATAATATATATAATATAATATATATATATGAAAGGGTTGAATGATAAGTACAAATAAACAAGTCAAAACTAAAAATGTTAAATTATCATATTTAATTCACCTGCAAAGTGGAACCACAGCAATTAAATCAATTGTTTATAAGCAAATTTGACCAAATTCTAAATAAACATGTATTTGTCATCCACATAGATCTTCTCATTTTAAACACATGCAACCAATTACAGGAAGGCGATTCCAAATTCAGCAATATTTGAATATTATTTCAGAAAAAAAGTCAATGTCACAGCACAAGTTAACAGACGTGAGCCATCTTCTCGGCTAGTCTGGTGTCTGAATGTGCCACCAAGCTTTGTAATGATGTTACTCTTCTCCGGTAGTGCACCAGTAGAGAGTTATTACAATCTCAAGTGATTCAATGACTGAATGAGGAAAAAGACTGGTCCAAAAATAATTAACATGGTCAGTTCTGAACTTGTAAAAATGCCTGTGGTAAAATAGCACATTTTGGTCTCTTGCTCATCTGACAGATATTGTTCATAGTCCAGCTGCTAACAAACAGTAAAAGTCCATTTTGAGATCCATAATGCTTTTAGGTCAGTGTATCCTCACTCCTAATGTACTCGCCAATGTCGGCTTGGTGGAACACTACGATAGACATAGGGTCAGCTTTCCGGCATTCCTGTGTGGTTTTTGCTGCCGCTCCAAAGCCCTGCAAGGTGAAACATATCAGACATAGTATTAAATGTGTGCAAAAAAAAAACAAAAACAATTTGTTCTTGTACTACTGAAACATTTGACATGCATTATATTGAAGATAACTGAGTGTTCTCACCAGAGGTACATCTGCCATTGAGTATACCACCACTCCTTGGTACTGTGGTGTATTTTCTGTAATCCTACCAAGGCCTGACTTCATGATGTGGTTGCCATACAGGAATGACTGCTCTGCCCCAGGTTTCACCCACACTTTATACTGACAAAGGACAAAAACATTACTCCTGGTATAATTTTACCACAGCCAGTATTCATATTTAAATCAGTTAGCAAAATAAGGGATATACGACCTCTGTAACAATACCTATTTTAGTTCCACTGTATAACAAAATGGAGATGTTTAATACCTTTGCATATGGAGCGAGAAAATCAAGAGCTGTGATATGGAGACGAAACTTCTGAGTTTTCGTGAACTTCCCAAAACATGTGCCAACAGATACCAACTTGTCTCGAGAGATGTTGGTGGCCAGCCTCAGTATCTTTTCACTGGTTTGACAAATAGAAGAGAATAATGTTGGTCAGCACTCAATTACTGAAAATTAATGAGGTATAGGAGTTGTGGTTACATTCCCACCTGATATAGTACACACGATCATGATGAAGTCTGAAGCAATACGTTCCATCAGGTCTGTCAACAAGAAGTTTGATGTTCTCACCAATGCTAAAATCAAAAAAGGGAGACAGATATCCATGTATTCAAGAGCAACAGCAATCACATAACAGACTGCTAGGTGTCTGTGTCTTTAGCTGCTGCGATCAGCTCACTTGCCAACTAAAATACACTCACAGCAACAAGGGTTCTATATTGTAAATATTACCAAAAATGTTCTATGATGTGTAACAGTAGAACTCTTTTTTTGTTGCTATATAGAATCATTTTTTAAAGATTAATTAATGAACCATATTCACCAGGTTTTCCATTGTAGAGAAGAACATATTTACCATCCAAACACCACTCATGCGCCCAAATGGTTCTATACATGACTACTATCTTTAATAAAGAACCTTTTAACGAGCATTTTTTATTAAGGGTAACGTTATACAGTAGAGCTGGGCAATATGGCAAAATGTAATATCACTATACTTCAGGAAATTTTATGATACACAATGTGTCACAATATTTTTTCTGACGTCTGTTAGGTTAGAACAGACAAAGTGGTATCACATTTTAAAAATACTATCAAAACTACGAATCCAATTTATTGTATTCATCATTTCACACACTGTGCTGCACTAAATCCACTTAATAACACTAATAATGCTCTATTTTTAATTAAACATGCAGTTGGGCGGTGATATTTATCTACTAACGATATCCACGATATGCTCAGAAGAAAACAGTAACATATTGTCATGTAATTTATCACGATAACGGTAAATATTGTCATACTGCCCAGCTCTAGTGCACAGGTTGTGCTACACTCTTTAAAAAGACGGTTCTTCATCATATATAGAACCATGAACAAGCAAAGAACCATTTGCATGCTTAAATGTTTTTTTTGCATCGTGAAATGGTTCTTCAGATTGATAGTGTTGTAAATGGTTCTACATAGCACAAAAAAGGGGTCTGCTGTTATAAGCTTGACATTTTAACAATAGCAAAATCAGTTTTTTGAGTGTCCATGGTTCCATATAGAACCACTGTCTTTACTAAAGAGCCCTCTACTAAAGAACCATCTTTTTTAAGAGTGTACTAACTTAGCAGCAAGCTCTAAACCCTCAGCTTCCAGCTAGTGTTATAATGTACTATAAGATACTATAAAAGTACTTACTACTTGGAGAGCTTTTCAAACATCGTCTTCGTCTCTTCCTCCGTTAACGGGCGCATTATAAAGTATAAAATAAACCTTTCACTGCAGAAAAGAAAAGAAAACACGTTACAGATACAACGTGGGAGAAGAGTCGCAGAGCTATGACGCAGAAAGAGCTGTCGCTGAGCTGTGTCGTGTCGACCTTTCCCCTTCCATAGGCGGAGTGAAAATGGCGACCGTAGACGTGGAGGATGAGAGCATTCTGGTGTCTATCTTTAAGGACAGTTTCCCCGAGAACTGGAGAGAAAATCCAGACTTCGCCACGTATTTGTCTGAGCTGAGTTCCTACGGGGTGGAGAAGCTGAACCGGGAGCCCGAGCGCTTGTCTGAGGAGAGAGCTCACATCCTGCAGCAGACCAGAGAGCTCGCCTTCTCCAACTACAAGACCTTCATCCGCACCGCGCACTGCACCAAGCAGATCTACCGAGACTTCGGCCGTGTGGAGAGCAGCTTAGCTAAACTCCTCGACAAACTACCGAGCTTCGGAGAAAAATGCAGGTTTGTTTACGAGGCGCCAGCTGCACCGTTTAAGGTGGAACGGGGAAATTCAAACAAGAAGCTGGAGAAAAGGAAGTTGACTTCAGCTTCGATATGCTTTCTGCAAAGATTGTGTCGCGTCACTGCTTCTGTAACCTGTAAGCGATGTTAGTGACCGTTTTTCCACGAACTAGTCGCTTAACTTCTAGAAATTATGATAAACCCCTGTAAAGGCTCAACTCGTGAATTGTTATTTTTTCATTTTTTTGCAGTGAAAGTTTTTGTTGATGTATATAAACACTGTTACATCTTCATAACATACCATGTATTCCCCCAATCTCAACGGCCCACATATGAACGCAAAGCTGTGGAATCAGCTCGGTTAAATGCTGACTTATTTCTGTGATGTCAGAAAATCCCCAAACATTTACATACTGTTCTGTCTACAGCAGCTCAGCCCCGCCTAACAGTGAAGTTAGAAGGAGTATTTCAGCCTTGGCTGCATTAACGTTAGTCCTAATACAGGACAGCCAGTCAGTCTTGAAGGCACAGTAACAAAAAACAGTCGCTTTAAATGTAGCTAAGGGATAAAGAGAGGTTGGAAAATTTTAACGTAAAAATGAATTATGCTTGTTTTTGGTATAAAAACCCACAAAAATGTCAAAAGTGGATCTCAAGTGGGGGAAAAACAAGAAGAAAATTGTAAAATAAGGGCTCTTTAGGATATTTCCATGAGTATTTTCATTTCTTCAGTAGTGCTATGTAGAGATTTCACTGTGCTTTTACAAACGTGGTTAATAAAGGAAGTTTGAATGCAAATGTAAAGAGTTTTAAAAGTATATTTACTTATCTGTAAAGTTAGATATTAGGTGCTGTGCCACTGATCTACCAATATAGACTGTGGAAAATTATTAAGATTTGCTTTATTTGCAGAATACTGTGGTGAAACGTGTGGTGCTAACTTGGTTGTATCTTTCATACCAGAGGTTTTGTAAAAGAAGCAGAAGATATTGGAGCGAGCCGGCGCATGAACAGCTTGACACTGAACCGCCACACAGAGATCCTGGAGATTCTCGAGATCCCTCAGCTTATGGACACCTGCGTCCGCAATGGCTATTACGAGGAGGCACTGGAGCTGGCTGCTTATGTGAAGAGGTTGGAAAAAAAACACTCAGCACTTCCTGTTATTCAGGTACACATATTGTTATTACAGCTATCATGGGACCTACTGTCAAATAAGTATGTGTCTGACAGTTATAACTTTTTATTGTGCTGTTTTGTGTTGTTACAGGGAATAGTACATGAAGTTCGGCAGTCGGCTCAGCTCATGCTGAACCAGCTCCTTCAGCAGTTGCGCAGTAATTCCCAGCTACCGGTTTGCCTGCGGGTGATTGGCTACCTGCGCAGAATGGATGTCTTCACAGAAGCGGAACTGCGTGTAAAGTTTCTGCAAGCTCGTGGGAGCTGGCTACGTTCCGTCCTGGCTGCTGTCCCTGATGAAGACCCTTACTTCCACATCACCAAAACCATAGAGGCCTGCCGAGTGCATCTCTTTGACATCATTACTCAGTACCGTGCCATTTTCTCGGACGAGGATCCCCTGTTGCCACCAGGGGGACAGACTGTGAATGAAAGTGCCATCTTTCATGGCTGGGTGGTTCAACAGGTTGCACAGTTTTTGGAGACCCTGGACAGGGATCTTAAGTGTGGGGTTGGAAGCCGCTTGGATTCCCTGCTCGGCCAGTGCATGTACTTTGGTTTGTCCTTCAGTCGGGTAGGGGCAGACTTTCGTGGACAGCTTGCACCAATGTTTCAGCGGGTAGCCATGGATACATTCCACAAAGCTGTCAAAGAAGCCGTGGATAAGTTTCAAGAGGATATGAATTTGTACACACTCATTTCTCTGCCTTCAATGCTTGGCAATACTATCCCACCTGTGGCTCCAAGTACTCAGCCTGGCACTCTTCAGCCCCCCATGGCCTTGTTGGACTTCCCTCCTTTAGCCTGCTTTCTGAATAATGTTTTAACAGCTTTCAATGACTTACGACTATGTTGCCCCATTGGCTTAGCCCAAGAGGTGACCAGATGTCTAGAGGATGCCCTTCTAAAGGTATACTGACAGGTTTCACAGTGGATAGGACAATTTGTCTTATTTTTGGGGCTGACTGTATTTTATAATCACGTAACACCTATTTTGAGATGTTACAGTTTGGCTTGAGCCATGTATGCTTGTGTAGATTTCACACTCTCCTTCACTCACTGCTTAAAGCTGCACTATGTAAGATTTTTGTTAAACATGAAAAAAAAATAGCATTATTGAGTCAGAAATATTGTGTAGTATGGTGTTTGTGTGTTGCTCAATGTCACCTTGAAATAATTTAAAAGTCAGAGGGGTCAGATTCTTCAGATCATGTCATTAATGTCACACACACAGGCTCAAAAAGAAGTTCTGGCTTAATGCTTAGGTCTCAAATCCAATTTCCACCACAGTATTCTGCAAATCCCTAAATATTACATAGTGCAGCTTCAAACAAGTCATTATTTTCTCTCTGGGACTAAAAGTCCTAGGCTTATGGTATGTTCTGCCACTAATTCTGTTTACTGAGCCAGAAAAAGCTAAGGAGCTGGGTAATTTTCTAGTGATATACATACACATCAGAGTATGTACGCATGTTGTGTGAGGTATAATGTAAAAATGTTTTTGCTCTTTGCAGGTGACCAAATTAATCCTGGTTTTCCACAGAGCAGAAGAGTCCGCTTTCAGTAGCCGTGAGCGGGAGTTATTTGTTCAGTTCTGCTGTGCCTTTGCTGAGGATATGGTGCCATTCCTGAACCGATGTTTACAGGTTCTCTTCCCGCCAGCTCAGCTTGCACAGATCCTTGGTAAATATTCACAAAACTGTGAAGAGTAAATTCAAGCAATAGAACACTTCCTGTCATGTAAAGCCCCGGTGAACACTAAAATCTCACTCTCACTTTTTAGGTGTCCCACCTGCTCAAGTTCATAAATATGGCAACATTGGATGCATCAGTGTGAGCACTGTACTAGAGCCTCTGGAGTTTGTCCTCCCCAAGAGGGAGCCCATATCACCAGTGGTGGACCTTACTGTCGACCTGACTAGTCTGACCACAGCTGAAGCTGAACTTCTACCTCCAAGCAAATCTCCATTCTCTGAGAAAGCTGAGGCTGCTCGAGAGCCTGTACCAACTCTCCATGCCCAACAGCCACAAGCGGCACCATCTACTGAAGAACCCTCCCCAAACCAAACTGAGCCTATAGCCAATAAGACAGAGAAAGGCGTTCCAGATGAGCTGCACTCTACAAACACAAATGCTGATAAGATACTCTCTGGGTGAAATGATGAGAAATGGCTGCAGTTTCTTCTAAATTTAACTTAAAATTTGAACACTATGTTTATACAAATTAAATAATACTTGCACTTGTCACTTCCATTCTTTGGTGAATGCTAATTTAAACTACTATGCTTACTCTGGGAAGTCCAATGTATATTTAATATATAAACTGTTTGAATCAACTATTTACATATTTTTTCTTGTACCTTTCCAAGCTTTGAGGGGAATATTAGCCTTTTATTTTGAAAATTCTGGTAACAAGGTATGATGGAGATCCATATGTTTTAAGGAGATGGTAGTTTATTAGCTATTCAGCATTTGCTTGATTATTATTTCACATCTTTTTTACTTATGTGCTAAATATAGAGGGGTTCTCAAAGTGAACTGTACCATAAAATATTTTTTGGCAATCATACATTTTCTTTGAAAGAGTGACTTGGTGAAAGAGTACACTGTAGAATCTAAACATGTATGCCGTTTGTCCAGACTTTTATCCTGTACCATGAAGGCCTTGACTCTTGAGTGTTTGGCTTTAATTGATGTACTCTGTGTGAAAATATACTGTAATATTTTTGTAGGAAGGAATTTTAACTTTATTTTGCAAACTTTGTCAATGTCTTCCTGTGACAAATACATAGATAGAAGAACAATGATTCACTTTTTCTTGACAAATTTCTTGCGAGAGGCATTTGGATTAGCCCGTCGTCTCCCTCCTCCACACTGAGCGTCACGCAGGTGTAGATTTGCCGATCTGCTGTAAATGTCATGCTCTGAGAATGGTGAGTTGCCTGCTAGATAGTCTGGGTTGAAAACATCAGTCTTCTGACGTGCCTTCTTAGATACTCTCTGCTGAGGGAAGTGCTGGTCCTCCACCAGGTGTGGGTTGCTGGCATGTTTGCCCCCTTGTGGCAAAGGTAAGGAATACTGCAGACATGCATAGAAGGACCAGTTAGTGTCTCTAGTTATGAGTGGAACCATACACTGATAGCTTGTACTCATCTAAAATGTGTTCATCCACCACTGTGAAACATGTTTTAGAAAGGCTAAGTGATGCAGTTGTCACTCCTATGTACAGTAAAAGAAAAACACATACCCTCTTGCCCTTATGATTAAGCACTTTGGGATTCCTGGAGAAGTGCATTTGCATACTGCCATCTTCATTGATGCTCACAGCAATCTTCTTTAGTGTGTTGTTGCCACAATTTGGGCAGAAAGTTTTGTTCATATTTGTTGTAGTCCTGACGGGAACAAATCAACATAAACCCTAAATGTATACAATTATTCATATCCATACAATTGCCAACAAATTCAAATTACAGCTTGAGGTATTGGTTTAAACATGTTTAAGACATGAAATTACTTCCTCACTTTAAGCCAGTGTTTAAAAATTTAATATTGGAATTTAAATAAATCTTTGTGGACACGAGCTGGGAGTATTTCATAAAGCAGGATTTCTCAATCAGCCGGATAACCTAACCTAAACCTCAGCTCTTTTCCTACTGGACAGGTTTGGCTTTGGGCAAAAGTCATTTGGTTAAGCTGAGAAATCCTGTGTAGTGAGATACCCCCCTGAAGCCAAAAAACTGTATCCTTTGTGGCATTCAAATTTCAAACAATGATCAACATTTTGAAACACTGATTCATTCAAGGATGGGACAAAAGGGCACATGAATACATATTATATATGAGTACATATTAGCAGATAAATCAGTTGTGTTTTTCTCTTTTTAGTATTTACATATTTCCTATCAGTATAGAGTTTTCTTTCTGGAATGTATATATGAAAACGTAAATGGTAATATGCTTTGACTTTTGTAAGAATTTGTATTTCACTCACTTGAAACAGGCATGGCAGCGGAGGATGTAGTTTCTTGTTTGTTTGATAAGCATTCCATTCAGTGAGAGGACATTGAGACCGATCTGAATAAGGACATTCTGCAAGTAACAAATGTGAAGTAGGTTAGTTCAACAGGAAAAAATGAACGTTGCTGTAACAAAAAATTGCATCTCCAAAATGCTAACTACATAGGAAAGGGAAAAACATTCGTAAGTTATAAGGTAATGTAACAATTTTTTTCTCCAAGTAATTGTAGACCATTTTTATTTGTCTGTTCATCATGAAAATATAACACAATGCAAACAGCCAGTTTTCAATTTATGCAAAAAATGTCAAAAACAATAATGGAGATATAAGGTTTTTGTGACAGTGACAATGTATTTAAGTCATAACAAAAGTGAACCAGTTATAATAATTTTAGTTAAACTTCTTTCTTTAGATTTATGTCTATCGCCTAGATATTTATTTATGTCGCTGCAGAAACTGAAGTTGGGAGGCATTTCATTAATAGTGATCACTAATCAGTCTGAAAATCATCTTTAATAGTAACATTTGTATGGCCTTAGGGTTGTATGGAGAGAATGAGCTGGATAAAAAGTTATTCTGAAGACATTATTTTTGCGCACCTTTTTCATTTTCAAACACTTCACGTACCTGCATGGCAAAGTCTGTGGTCACACAGCCCACTTTGACATTTGCTGAATGTTGCCAGTGACCAACATCCATCTGGACTTGTTTTAAATTGCTGGGAGTGATCCAGCCTCCATCATTATCCTCTTCATCTTCTTCCTCCTCCTCCTCTTCCTCCTCCTGATCATCCTCATTTTCACCATCCTCTCCTAATCCAGTTTGAGATTCTGTTTTCTGACCTTCATTCGACAAGTCAACAGACTCCAGTTTCTCTGTGACATCTTTTACCACAACTGTGTCTGCAGCCTACAGAAGATTTACAGAACCAGTTTTGGTGCTCAACTCAAGCTGGCTTCATACATGACAAGTTCAACTAATGAATGACAAGAAAAATATATTAACTGAAAATAACAACAGCTGTCCCGATCTGTAAAATCATACTTACTAACAAATCCAACAGGTCAGCCTCAATGCTCGGAAGCGGAGTCCTCCAAAACTGAAAACTATTGAACTCTGAGCTCTCCGCAGGTACATGTGACTCAGTGGGACTGTGAACATCAGTGTCTGGCCTGTTTGAGGATTTCTATTTTAAAAAAATGAAATTGTTAAATGACTTGTATCTTCTCAGTGGATACAATGGATGAGTACAAGTTTAATATTTTGTGCACAAGCTTATTTAAAGATAATTTAAAAAAATAAATAAATAAATAAAACAGTCTTACTTTAGAGGGAAAGTGGAATCCAGCAATATCTACTGGGGCTTCCGGATGTCTCTGTGTGCTGCATATATCGATCTAAAGTATAAGAGATGCTGCGTGAATCCTCAGAGCATTTTATTTTACTGCAAATGTTATTCAACATTAAGCCTGTTCAAATATTAATACCTGTATTGCTGGTTCTTTTTTCAAATGATCAGCTCCAACATTTTCCAATTCCAGTTGGTAGGTCAAAGCCAAGACCTTAATGTCTGTTGCTGAAAGACTGGGATAGTCTCCAGTCTTTTTTGAAAATTCAGTTACTGTAAATATAATAAAAACAAAAAATTAATTTCATAACACTACAATATATAAACACTTCTTGCTGAAAAAAAAAACCCATAAAAAACATTAAAAGTTTAGCCACTAATGGTATTTTGTGTTTTCCTTATTGGTTTATATCACCACGTAAAGGATCCTGGGACTGATTCCAGATGCATTTGATGGTTTTCTAATGAGATATGAAGGTGTTATACAGGACACTAGAGGTCTCTAACGGTAACCAATCAAACCATTTCCCATTAGAAAGCAAAACAATCAGGTCTTAATTCTAATGGTTCTAATGGTCTTTTTTTCAGCAGGGCTACCAGTGATCTTCAGCACAAATGAATGGTGCAGTGTCAGCAAGTGAAGACAAAAGATTTATAGTAATACTACATGAATTTCTACGTGATTCCAAATTAGAAGCTTATAGTACATTCATATCATTACCATTGTTAGTGGTTCTCAAACCAGTCCTAATGGAGCCCCTTCTGGATGATCCACATTTTTACCTGATCCCAACTCCCGAAACATAGTTATAGAGCAAAACTGTGGACTGTCTGGGGGACCCTGAGGACAGTTGTGAGAACCATTGCAACAGTTTACTAAAGAATACTACACAAGTATAAAAGATCATTACATACTACTAACTAAGTATTGCAGGAATATTACAGAAGGTGAAATTATTATAGATACAACACTGTAGAAATCTTAGTAATAGTATAGAGAAGGGCAATATGGCAAAAATATAATAAAGAATAAAGAATTTTTCATGATAAACAATGTTACAATAATTTTTTTTTCAACATTTTTTTTTCACATTTTTAAAAATACTATCCAAAACTGTGAATACAATGATTTTATTCAATACGTGGCATACTGTGTTGCACTAAATCCAGTTAAATGGGATTATGTTGCTCTCTTTATAATGAAACACGCAGTTGGTCAGCGTTATACAAGTTCTGACGATATCCACAATATGTTCAGAAAAGCATATTGTATTGCCCAGCCCAACTATAGTATTACAGCAGTTATAATATAACAACAGTGTTGTTTTGTTTTTTTCTACAGGGGGTATACTGACTGATGTGAACACTCACCAAACCGTACATGTTCTGGAAAAGGTTCTTTGAAGTTGAGCTGGTAAGGTAAGAAGGCCAAGTTCCTTCTGGTTTGTTTATCCCGAATTTCATTCACGACATCCTTCAAAGTGTAGATGTTCTTTCCGATCTCCTAAAGCATGAGAAACAGACACAAGACTCTTAAAAGGGAAACTCCACTAATTTTTCATAAATTCTACATAATTTAATGACTGAGATGTACACAAAGTCATTCAGAGTGGTTGTTCCGTTCTAGAGAAACTTACAGAGCCAGAAATGTTTACAGTGTAGGTGATAGGAACCAGATATCTTAAGAGTTCTATGCTTCTAAAAGCCACCTCACTGAAAGTTATTACATGAAATTGATATGAATATACTGCCTTATGTCTGAAACTTTGTTTTGCGAGAGTTTTGTGATAAAGTTTTGGCTTGAAACGTTTTTTAATCCATTTATTTTAACCAATTCATGGCGGAGGAATACATGCAGTGCACACGTGTAGGTTCCCTGATGGGTCTGGATTGTAAATAAATTGGCTAGCTATTTTTGTGTTGTAGACATGGTGACCCCTGGTTCCCATCACCACCACTATAAAGATACCCGAGTCTGTAAGTTTCTGTACAATGAACCACTTCACATCAAACCACTGTGAATGACTAAAGGACTGAAATTTGGAAAAAATGGCGGAATTGGTGAAATGGTGGAATAGGAAAAGGTTTGATGTAGGAGTAAATCACTGTGTATACTAAATTAAGATAATGATAAACAATTTGCTAAAGAAATGTTAATCTCCAGCTATTGCTTTTTAACTCGTTAGGCTAAGCTAAGCTAGCGACAATACATCACCAGCTAATCAGGTGTGATACGAAAACTGTGAGAGTTGTCATCTGACAAAATAGTACTATTTTACCACGTCGTTTTAGTATAAGTCGATATAATCCGCGTAGCACATTAATCAAAACTCACGTGTAAAGGTACTTTTTTCAGGAAAGCAGCAGCATCAGCTACAACATGCTCCACCGTGGCGGCTGCCATCTTCAACGAAATCTCGCGAGAACGCGGATCTCTGTTCCCGTCGTTTGTTGATGTTTTGTTGAGAGTAACATGGCGGCCCGCTGGAGCAGCGAGAATGTGGTGGTGGAGTTTAGAGACGCTCAGGTACTACAGTCTTCAGCAGAGACTAAAGGAGCAGACATGTTTTATTTGTGCCATAGTTGCCCTTCATTCTCTCTACCAGCTGACAGTTTAGGTGCATGCTCTGCGGCCTGGGCAGGGTCAGTAGTTAGTTAGCTGGCTGTCTGGCAGTAAGTTAACGCTATTCCTTTATTCATTTTCCCCTGACAGTTACCAAGTTGACACTCAACGGCAGTTTTGTAACGTTATTGTTTTTAATCAGTTAAGCTTTTGTCATTTTGTCTGCTTTCATAACTCAGAAGAATGTTTTAGGTTTGTAAAAAGCGCTAGGGTGTTTGAATGACTTGTAGTACAGCTGAGTAAAAGTGTCCTGTGCCCGAGAGTTATTGTTTTCACTTCACTTATTCCCGTATTTTATCTGTTTTTTCAGGCTACTGCAATGTCAGTGGACTGTTTAGGACACCATGCTGTACTTTCTGGGTGTGTACAGTCTTGCCGAATGCCACATTCATGTTAAAATTCCTTCTGCCCCGCAGTGTGAACCGCCTGCACTGCCCTCCCCTCTGCTGTCTGTGCTATAGTCTCTTAACTGTAACTTTTAGGACTGTGTATTGTTGTGGTTGTTGTTGGCTTTTCCTTTTTCCACACTCTTAAAATGTGATTTATATTTTTTGAATTGAATGTTAAGTTGCTACAGGAACTCATTCCTGCCCACTTCAACAGCAATTTATAATGACTCCCCTCTGTGACTTATCCTCCGAGTGGCAATGCACAAGAGACATTTTACATATCTTTTTTGTTAGATTGTATGTATTTGTAATTTGTAAAATCTTTACCTACTATGTCTGTTTTGTGTAAGTTATGTGTGTTGGGTGATTTATTATATAATTTATATATATATTATGATGTGAATTGCTGCTGTCTATCTATATGTCTGTCTTTCTGTCTTATCTTAATATTCTGTCACCTTTTGCTTTAGGAGACGGTTCTTATATATTGTGAACTTGGAGACCCCTTCTGAGGCTCCTCGAAAAATAGGCCGTCAGAGCAAGTGGGATGTTGGAACTGTGCAGTGGAATCCCCACAAAACAGAAGCCCACCTGTTTGCCGCATCAGTAAGTGCAGTTACACCACAGTCAGTAAAATCCAAATGTTAAGCATGTATTCTTGAGAATTCTGAAAGTTTAACATATAAGAAAATAAGATTGTGTCATAGATGTAAGACTTTCTGTACGAAATAAAAAATAAAATGACAAAAAAAAGCGAAGTAAAAGCATACAGTTTTGCAAAAGGGATGATTATTCTGCATTCATTACATCTCCAGTAACTTCTAATCAGATTGCTTATTTATATTAAAGGAAAACTAACCCCTTTAACGTTGGCATCTGTTCGTCCTATAACTTAAGAATAACCCAGCCAGTTTGCATTGTTTTCTATTTAATTACTGTATAATAAACCGTAGGGTGTGATATGCCTGGGAATTATGGGCTTAACTGTAGTGATGTGTCCATTTATTTCCTTTTGTCTCATTTCTCTTGGCAAGGTAACTAATGTTGACTCTTACTACAGAAAACAACAATGTGTGCTTCACTATATAATACTGCTTGTGTGGGAAGTACAATAATTTTATACTAAGTCTTAAAGTGATGACGCTTAACAGTTAAATATTACAGAAATGAATAGCTGGAAAAAATTGACATCGTTTTATAGATTATGATAAAATGTCATATCTGTTTCAACTAAACAAAGGTCAGTGACTGACTATGCCATTAAAGTAAACCTGAAATGAAAACATAACTTTTCACTATGATTATATCATATCATTTAATGACAATCTGTAGTGTAGTGACCTTTGTTTGCCTCTAAAATGTCTTATGAGTTTTGATAACATCACCATGCACCAGTGAGAAGGAAAAATAAAAAAAATAAAAAAAATTATCACCCCACATATCTTAAAAATACTCACCAGGTTCAGAGACCCTCCCTGATAGGATGTTTCACTCTGAAATATGTCATGATACAGAAGGAAAATGCATGTGTTACGAAGTTTTGCCTGTTGAACTGTGATTGAGTCCATTGATTACATTATTGGCAAGTGTGCTGACATGTCTGTGTAGAGTAACCAGCGTGTCGACCTGTATGTTTGGCGTGATGGATGTGGAGAGGCACACACTTCCCTGCAAGGCCACACGCGAGTTATAAGGTAAGACACTGGTGACATTTTCATGTCGTTTCATGAAATCTGGTCACTGACTCCAGAATTCTCCAATGACTCCAAGTTTGTTTTTTGTTACATGAAGCTTCTTGTTGTTTTGAGCCTTTTTTCTTACTTAACATTTCAGTGATTTGGATTGGTCCTGGTTTGAGCCAGAATTTCTTGTTACAAGTTCTGTGGACACATACATCTATATATGGGACACAAGGTGAGAAAGGGGAAAAAATAACACCAGTAAAACTGCTACATATGAAATAGATAGCTTTATCCCATTCTGTGCTTTTTCAGAGACACTCGGAAACCCACAGTGGCCCTATCTGCAGTGGGTGAGTTTACAGTCTCCATATGTTTAATAGAGAGTGAAATTAAGCTGGACGTTAAGCGCACATTAATCTCTCTCTTTCTGTCTTACTGCTCCATGGTGCAGCGGGGGCTTCTCAGGTGAAGTGGAACAGAAGGAATCAGCACTGCCTGGCTTCCAGTCATGATGGAGATGTCAGAATCTGGGACAAAAGGGTGCGTGGGCTGCAGTTACTCCAGGATCGTCTTCAGTCTGGAAGATGCACAATGTTTCTTTGTCTTTGCTCATAAACTGTGATACCTTTACCATTTGGGTGTTGTGTTTGAGAAAATGAGGCATTAGATATAAAGTAAAATATTTGAAAATCAGTGGCATCGCACAGTGCATTTGCTGTAAATACATGACGTTGCAAACAATTCCATAATTCTGACTGCCAGTTGTGTTTAGGAAAAAGAAAGTGTTTTGTTTAATGATACAGGTTCGTCTTTAGTCTAGTGATGCATTTGCGTCACAGCAAAGCAAAATGCACTTTGTGGGCATGTTGCTAAAATGCTAGCAGGTTGAGCCATCCACTTCTAGGCTAGTTCTGTGTTCAGATGAAATGTAGGTGAGGTCTAATTTTCTTTATAAAATGTTAACTAACTTCCATTAACGCTGATTTCCGCGTGTAGGCCTGTATGTGATGCAAGACGTTTGATTGCCACCTGGTAAACCTTGCTACTTATTTGCATAAAAGAAAAGAGGAACTCACCTTGAGAAATACTCAACTTTCTATTACATGCTTCTTGCCACTTCAATTCCAAATATCCTCTAATGCACAACTGCCGCCTCCATAGAAATAAATGAGAGGTAAAATGAAAATTGCCTCGCTGCACTGTAATGCAGCATAAGACTAACTGCATTGTAAATGCAGATTCATCACTGAACGGCCCCAGAATAGCTGTAGCATAGTCATGCCAATCTTTAAAGTTAGAAGTGGCACAATACCAATTTTTCTTCTCCAGTGTGATACTGATATTGAAACCTTGAGTATCAGCAGAGCTGATACCAATCCGATACTTCGTCTTTAAAAACTAGTACGCTTTAGAATTAGCTATTTTTAATTGAAGCGCTTCACTTAAGATGAGCATCTAAAAGTAGGCTAACATGCTCAAACTACTCAAATACTCTACTTACCTACAGGAGAAAATACACAGCTAGCAACATCACATTGCTCATCGTTTCCCTCCGATATCTGTTTCAGCATTTTCTGCTGATACAACCAGATACTGATATCTAGTATAGGATGCAATGTATGGCATCACTATTTAAAGCTTAAAAATTTAATTTCTAATTTCTGTTTATATTGTTGTTGTCTATTTGCTCTATTTGTTTGTAATTGTGTGTCTTATTACAGAAACCTAATACTGCTGTTGAATATGTAGCCGCTCACTTATCAAAGATTCATGGCTTGGACTGGCACCCCGATAACGAGTATATACTAGCAACTTCCAGCCAGGACAACTCAGTTAGGGTAAATATACATACATTTTCATTAATGATGATGATGATGATGATAACAACAACAATAATAATAATTATTATTGTTGTTATTATTATAATTACTAACAATAAATACCACAAACTGTAATTTGTCTATGTTCTTTTGTACAGTTCTGGGACTACAGACAACCTCGAAAGTACCTCAATATCTTGTCCTGCCAAGTTCCTGTTTGGAAGGCGAGATACACTGTATGTTCATCCATCATCAGACTCACTGGTCTAAATGCTGGAACAGTGAAGACATAACATTGACATACACAAGAATATTTGTTTAAAAATTCTATGGTTACAGAATTATAGAACACATGTTCATAAATAAAAAATCATATTACTTTTATCAGTCCTGCCAAACTTGTAGATACAGCAGGAATAGTATGACTCAAATGCATGATGAATTAAAACCAGATCTTTTTCATCAAATGTTGAGATGCTATTACGTGGAATATTTTTTATGTGGTATCTATATGGTACCTTTACTGATTTTTTTTTATGTTAAACTGTTGCTGTGAACTCACTGCTTTCTGTTTTGTTTAGCCCTTCTCTAATGGGTTGGTGACAGTGATGGTGCCGCAGCTCAGGCGGGAGAACAGTCTGCTGCTGTGGAGCACCCTAGACCTCAACAGCCCTGTTCATGCCTTTGTGGGTCACGATGACGTGGTGCTAGAGTTTCAGTGGAGGCCTCAGAAAGAGGGTGAGTCTTTTTATGAAAGATGTTATGAAAAAGATGAAAAATGTTATTTACTGAGACAAATCTGTTAGTCATGTCAAATTTTCCTAACTTTGCTACCTTCCTTGAAATATGAATTTCATGTACTACATAAATTGTTTTGAAATTAACTGTTCACTCCCGAACAAATATCTTACATTACTAAATTATCTTAAATATGTTTTAGGTTCCAAAGACTGCCAGCTTGTTACATGGTCCAGAGATCAAACTTTGAGGATATGGAGGGTAGATCCTCAGTTACAGAAGGTGAGAGACACAGGTCGAAAAGGTATAACTGGGTTGCTAGTCAGTATGTTTTGTGATGACCTTTGGATTAGGCGTTACATTTATTTTTGAAAACGGTTGTCTTCTGCAGCTGTGTGCTAATGACATTGTAGAGGAGCTGATGGAAGGCTTGACTCTCACAAATGAATCAGAGAAGACACTCCGTTCTCAGGACTCTGAACCCCCACTCAGTCCTAGCCTTACTGTAGATGACTCACAAGGTGAGAGCTGGGTGCAGTACAGGACAGGCTCACTCATGCATATTAACCTGTAATAAATTTGTATGATATCAATAACAGTATATTTCATTTACTTGGATGGTTTTATAAAAGTTTGGGTTTGCCACTGAAAGTACATGTGTGTAAGTCCCTAACAATAAACTGTAAATCTGTTACTTTTTTAGGTCAGATTGAGAGCCTGCAGTCTGGCCTGGTGTCCAGTGGCAGGCAGGACAGCCCTGGCCTGCCCCAGACCCTGCAACAGGAATTCTCTTTGGTCAACCTGCAAATCCGCAATGTTAATGTAGAGGTTAGCCATTGCATTCAGTTCCACTGCAGACATCAAGTCAGGAGCCATCTACTTATTTAATAATAGAAATTTTGATTTGGGCCAGTGGACAACACTAAACATGTAACTGGACAGTGACTTTTTTTTGTTGTTTTGGCTCTGTACTTCAGCACATTAGTTTTAAAATATAACAAGTTATTGTTTCCCTATGAAATCTATTGTGCAAAAGCAACAGACCGCAAAATAGCAATTAATAATGAGTAAGTAAGTAATTAATAATGAAATGCTGCCACATTTACATTGCTCTAATCAAGTGAGTGCAAATCACAGGAATATCAACTGTGTGAGCTGTGAGGTGCACTCTTTTAGGTTTTGACTGTTTTGTTGTTTTGAATGTTCTGTCAGATCACACATACTGTCTTTTTCATGTAGATGGATGCTTTAAATCGCACATGCTTTGTGTCAGCCCACTGTGGAGCCAATCAGGTCAGGCTTGTGGTGAAGTTTCCAGCACAGTACCCAAACAACGCTGCACCATCTTTCCAGTTTGTCCCACCAACAACCATCTCATCCTCCATGAAGACCAAGATACAGAAGGTACAGACCAATGGATTTCTCACAATTTCACAATTCTTCATAGAAGACATTGATAAAAAGAGAACAAGGGATTTCCCCAGTGGAAGTCAGTCCATTTGGAATAGATTGAATGTTCCTTTTAGTGGTAGCTAATGGTGAAATGAAGGGCTATAGTTGTTTATTGTGGGGTACGTTGGTTTCGAAGGTATCATCTCATATTTGGTATTGTTTCTCAAGATCTTGACAGATACTTCACTTCAGAAAGTAAAAAGAAACCAGAACTGCCTGGAGCCCTGTGTGAGGCAGCTGGTGTCTTGCCTGGAGTCAGATATGGTTAGTGCCACTTCAGGAGTCGTTTTGACCCACTAAATAATTTACTGTAGTAAAGAATCCTCTTGCACTAAATGTTCACTTGTTGATTGCTGCCATACATTTTACGTCAACACATAAGCATAGGTCACACAGTGTTACTAAACTTGTTTCTTTTATCTGTCCAATGTAGGAGGATGGCACAAATCCACATGTTTTCACCAACTCAGTGACCCCAGCTCTTCCTGCCTTCCCTCGTGTCACTAACACTTATGGTTCCTACCAGGATGCCAATATTCCCTTCCCGCGCACCTCAGGTGCACGCTTTTTTGGCACAGGTGGGCTGCTTGGAGAAAATTCTCATTTTAAAGGACCCTTATCATGGAAAACTGAATAAAAGAATGTAAATACTGTTAAGGTTTCAAAACATACTGCACACTCCCCAGACTATACAGTCCATATATTGAAACTAAGTTGCAAAAATAGCCTGTTATGAAATTGCTCTTTTGCTGATGTAACACCATCATATTTACATATGTCCACCTATTCATCTGACAGCAGTTTATCCTCACCCACTCATGCTGAAATTATAAAGAGTGTTTTAACCTGGACTGCTTTGGAATGAGGCACAACAGAGGGTAGCAAATAAGAACAGAGGTCATTTGCATACAACAGTCTTAACAGCATAGTAACAAAAACAATCTGTTTAATTCTAAGGGATTAGAGGATGTTTTAAAATGGTCATGTAAAAATTAATTTTTGTTACATATACCCATGCAAGTGTTATAAGTGGACCTCTTTACCAGCTTACTTTCTTGCACAGCAGATAAAGGACGTTCAACCTCAACATTTATTAGTCACTGTAATTTGAAATTAAATGTGCTTCTTGCAGGTTCTTTAGTGTACTTTACCCGGCCCATGTCTATGCATCGTACCGTCCCTCCTACTGAACCCACTCCTAGGTAAACATTCAGCCTCTGGCTTTCCAATGGTGATCATTATTTATATGAATAGTTTTCAATATTGGGCACACTGTTTAAAGATGACTAAGCAAGTTGTCTTTTTCCAGATCACTTTCAGCACTCTCTGCATACCACAGTGGCTTGATGACACCCATGAAGATGCGCAGTGAGTCTCAGGCCACCCTGAGGCTGTACAGTGGCAGTCCCACACGCACAGATAAAGAGCATGTCTCCATCTCCTCCTTTTACTACAAGGAACGGGTAAGACTGGCAGCATAAGTATCTCTTATAGGGGTAGAGGTAAGAGAATGCAGGGCTTGGATAAATAAAAGAAAGAATGCTCTTGTGATCAAGATATGACTAGGTATCTTGGTAAAGCACACACTTGGTTAACCATTCCAGGTGACAGTATTCAAATACTGAATTCTCTATTCAGGTCTTCGTTACAGGAGAAGATGTACATGCCTCCATATAGCCTCTAAGAGTTTGTGTACCGACATTCAAAGCTTTTGCTGTACACTGAGTATTTCAATTCATTAAGTCCTTTTTTTCTATGGCTAACTAACTATTAACCACAATTAAGCTCAGATATCTACAATAGTCAGAATGCTTATCCCTAATATCAAGGTGTCATCCATTTTTCATGTTTCCATATACATATTTTTTTTGTGTTTACATATGAGTGCTATCTTCACTTGCTGGTCCCAATCCATTTGGTTACTGTATTTGCTTGCTCCAATCCTTTATTGCTTGTTCATGGCCACTCATGTTTTCTGTGCTTTATCCTTATGTTCTCTTTCCTTTTGTGTTTTGGTGGCATGTCTCCCTCACACATGTTGCTGTGGTCTGTTTTATCCCAAACACCATTCAGAAGCCCCCTCTGTCTGCCCCTCGCCGCTGGTCTGTGCAGACTATTCATGACTGTCCGGTACTGATTTCCCTCTCCTCCCTCCCTTCCTTCCTTATTTTCTCTGTCTTTCTTTCCAAATGTGGGAGAAGCTTCCTCCACTAATCAGTGCTATCCCTGTCTTCTTTATTGGCTTCTTTCATTGCTGCTCAATTATGACACACCATATTTTCTCATCGAATATCACACTGATAGATTCCTCATGACCAGTATATATGTTCTTTGTCCAAACCAGAGTGCTGCACCCTATAGTGGAGTACAAACTTGAGCTGTGCAGGGTGCCTTTTGTGGCAGTGATGTTAAAGGCCACTCTCCATTGCAAAGTGACCTATTGATATGGGGGGGCATGTAAATAGATGTTACAACATGAGTGCTCTCCTCTGACTATGTTCATACACTTAACAATTTTGGCCCAAGAAATAAAAAAACAGTAAAGAAGACCTCACTTGCCTCTGAGGAAGCGGACTGCTGTACAATATGAGGCAAGCCTTGCAAAGATTAACAATCCGAGCTGACTTACTGAAAGCTAATAGAAAGAAAAATTAAAGGGTTAACATAAAAGCAATGACAAATTCAATAATTCAGGCCAGTAATCAACAATTGAAAGAAAATAATCAATAAATCAAAGGCATTCTTAACCCCTAATATAATAATTAGTACAATAAATAATTACAATGCATTGTAAAAGTGTGGGTTTTTTTTTTGGTTTTTTTTTGTCATTTCCCTAATCTGTGCCTCAGAAATCACGGCGTTGGAAAGGGAAACGAGAAGGAACAGACTACAACAACAGACCTATAAAACTGGCGGGAAAAGTCATCATTCAGGAGATCTCCTGCCTACTCCCTATTCACAAAGCCCTTGCTGAGACTTATGTGTAAGTTCTTCAGTGTTTCAGAAAAGACCACTTACACAATTTAACAATTTCAGATTACATATTCATAATGGCAGTATGTAAATTGCAAAAGTTGTCAAGATTTTGTGGTTCTTGAATGTTTTTTTTGTCTTTGAATCTTTTTGTAGACTAAATGTGAACGACATACAAGACACATGTCAAAAGAATGCAGCTGCAGCGCTGGCAGTAGGACGCAGAGATTTAGCAAAGGTATGTAACAATCATCAAAGCAAACCTGCTTCAGTGGTCAGTTTTTAATTTTTCTTACTAGGTTGGTTTAATAAAGTGTTCTAAAGTTAGCCATATCAAAACTATGGATCAATCTTTGTACTAAATAGATACTCTGTTTGTGTAGTCCTATATTCTTTTGAATATGTTCATTTCTGCAAACTACATACAGCATACATCATGTTTACTGCTTTCTTTTTGAAGGTATGGGCCCTGGCCTCTGCAGCTACCAATCTTGACCTCTGTCCTGACTCTGACCCTGACGCTGACACTCCTTGGGCCAGACACCCTTTCGGACGAAAACTGCTGACGACTTTGTAAGTTGCGCTTTATGGCGAGTAGTTTGAATAAACAAAAGCTGTAGCCAAATTCAAATGTACATAGAAATCCCAGTAACAGTAGCTGCAATGGAGTGAAACACTCCATCCAGTTCATTTTGTTGATATTTGTCTGTCTTTCTTCACAGGGTTGAACACTACAGTCAGATGAGTGATGTGCAGAGTTTGGCCATGCTGTGCAGTGTGTTCAGGGGTCAGGGGATCCCCCAAGACTACTTCACCCTGTATGGGCCACGCTCTTCAGGCTTCACCCTACACCACTCCCGCTACGTATGTCCCCTCAGCCTTCATTCTCTTCTTAAATACATAATTTACATGTTAAGCATTAGGGGTGCGATTTTCTAAATATTTAATTTATAACGTAATGTTGACGGAACGCAAAAGGCGGAACTTGGAAGTGCAGCGCCCGGACAGTCTGTGGTGGCACATAACAAAAACACAACTGGATGAGCGAGAAATCCGACCGGCTCCCACTGCATTAAAAGCCAGGTTAGATCAGGAGTCACAACACAAATGTTAACATTTTGTCCTTTCAACAAAAATCAAACCACCTTGGGAGCCGCAACATTTAATGTCCAGTATGTGATAATGTCCTAGTATAGACTAAACAACATAAACGAAAACGCAGACTTACTTTGCTCTGCTTTAAGCTTTTCTTCCATTTCCGCCAGAAAACTTTTCCTCAGAAGTAGATCAGTTAAATGTCTCTCAGCGTTCGACTGTTTTACGAGGCTGAAGTCGCTTCTTACTCTCCAGCTTCTTGTTCAAATTTACCCATTCCACCTTAAATTCTGACTGAGGCGCCGAATGTAAATGCGGGACCATTTAAGGTGGAACGGGAGAATTCGAAAGAGAAGCTGACTTCAGCTTCGCCACTTTTTAGTGTGTGACAGTCTCTCGTTGCAGATTTAACATACCAGGAAACCAACTGCGCCGCTTATAAATGCGAATAACGCATCGCTGCTATGTGACCTGCAGTCTGCACGGCGGTTCTGTCGTTGCGAAACAGGGCTTTCGCGCTATGCTGCACACGTCCCGTCTCAAAGATACTTTACTGACACAGCGACCCCCCTCGTCTCTACAACGAGACCAAAACCGAAGTTATAAAATCACTAAAGAAAACGGGTAGAATAGCTGTAACATGTGCTGCGTGGACATCCATCACCACTGGATCTTATTTCACCGTAACTGTGCATTTTATCGCAGATGAGTAGCAGCAGCTTCTCGTGCTCCAAACAAGAGCACTGAATGAAAGCCTTCCAGTTCACTTGCCACATTACTTCCATTTGTTTTATTAAAAAAGATATTGGAAGTAAATTCATTATGGATCATTACAAAAGTACCAAGTCACTTTAAACAACAACACCACCGAGTCACTTAGTCACTTTAAAATGTATATTGTCTCTATATTCTGTGTATATTTTGTGTATATTTAATATTTCAGTTGGTTTTTCTTGTATTTTTATTTTTACTTATTTACTTTCTGTAGAGTGATTAGCTGAGCCTCACCACAAGCATTTCAATGCATAAATGTCCTGACATGTTGTGCAAATAACAAATAAACTTGAAATTTGAACTTGAAACTTAAGCTCACACAGTGAGAAAATATAAATGCTACATGGAAAAAAAGATGCATCGAGATGCATCGATAATCATTTTATAATCGCATCTCAGCCCTCTGAATCTTAATTGAATCGAAGTGTGAGGTGCCTAGACATTCCCACCCCTATTAAGCATAATATAGTCTGAGTTATGTCTTTTTATAGAAATGAAATAAATGGACAAAAAATCTTAAGGCAGTGTTGTCTTTTACTTCATGATGAAATTATGTTATCACTTCTCTTTTAGCCCAGCTACACTTCCAGTTCTGTTACATCTGGTTCCTGCTCTAGTACCTCAGACTCCACCACCACCACTACGTGGAACGCCAGTGAGTAATTAAATGACTCTGCCGCCTGAGATCAGCTTACTTTATTTTATTTGCAGTTCTTTTTGATCTTTTATTAGGTGTGCGGTGTGTTGTTGTCTACATCTATGTCTACTATATTGGCATACTAGTTGCTACTTAGTTTCATAAACCAGACTACTGACTGTCACCGAAAAGTCTTGTAGGTTTTGTCACTGAATGTGGCCAAGAACCACCTACTTTGACAGAAAGAGGCCATTTGACTGATGTGCAAACCAACCATTCACCATTATTTTTGCATGATGAGAAGGGGAGGCTGACTGCCAAAACAAAAACAGACCCACATGAAAAATTGTGGCACGCTCATAGGCACACTTGCCAGCGTTTAGGTTTATAAAGAAAAAAATCCTGATAGACTGAAGAAGAAACACTGCCCAGCAGTGCATATAGCCACAGAGAGTGCAACTGACTAAATTGCAATAGTTGTGGCAATCTTGGCATATGATAAATATTAGACGGTTCATATACCTTTGTCAGGGCAGAGCATCTGAGCTTGTGACTGTTGTTGATTGACAGTCAATTACTAGTTTTAGCTTTTGTCATTTTCAATATGTATTTGCTCTCTTAGCTGGGCGGGATTCAGAACAGCCCCCACCCTGGGGAGAGTCCTCCCCTGATGACTACCGCTATGCAAACCAGTTATACCCAGACCCACGGGAGCGTGAAAAAGAGCAGCATGACATGAACAAAAGGTAATCAATCTGTTTGACTGTGCCAGTCATTCAGGTAGGACTATCATTATGTTTTCAGTTAGATAACAAAGAATAAAAATTGTGTTGCTGTATGTAGATTATTGGATCCAGCCAATACCTTGCAGTTTGATGACTTCAAGAAATGTTATGGAGAAATTCTGTACCGGTGGGGCCTGAAGGAGAAGAGGGCAGAGGTTCTGAAATTTGTTTCTTGCCCTCCAGAGCCACACAAGGGTATAGGTGAGTTCAGAAGCATTTGGAATGATCAGCAAGGGTGTAATGATATGCTCAGCTCACAGTTTGTTTCACGATACTGGACTCACGATTCAGTGTTCTCACAATAGTTTGAACAAAATTCAAATGAAAAAAATGTATGTCTATAATCATGCTGTAGAACTGTGAGGCAGGAGGAGAGCTGGAGTGGGTTTTTAATTGGTGCTAATTATTTTCAAACTTGCAGCTGCATTACATGGCATAATTATTAGAATGTCTATGCTCCACGGTGCATTGTCACATGTCCACAATGCACATTGTCGCGGTTTTGCATCGCAGTATCACAACCCATGATGCAATGTGTCACCCGTGATGATTAGTGCAAATAACATCTTTTTTACAGTTATCCAAAAATATGCACATTAACATTCTTTTTTTCTTCTGTGCATTGAATTCAATCAGAAATTATTGTACAAGAAATATTTGTGCTTTTAACACATTTAACACATTTGTGCTAAATTGGAATGGTTTCCATTGTAAAAATGCACCCCATGATATTCCGAAAAACAGGGCTTCCCAAAGTGTGGCCTGCATGCCAAAGTTGGCCTTTGAGGATGCTTAATTCGGCCCACCCGAAAGTTATCCTAAACCCTAACACCTAATGCAATGAGAGAATAATCATATACATAAAATATGAAATTCTCATTTCCCTTTTAATGTTGTATTTTCAAAGTATTTTAGTAACATATGGTGCAGTGTCTTTAAAGTACATTTTTAAAAGCTCAATTTGAAGCCTACTTATCTTCTTTATTTGTATGTTGCTTTTGTATTTTTGGGCCCCAAGACAAAAAGTTTGGGCACCCCAGCCTAAAATCGTCAACCACGAAAGTGAAAAAAAAAATATATATCTGCGGCAGTTAAAACCATTCAGAGTTTGTGTGTATTTCAGTTTTGTCTTTGTGTTTTGCCAATCTGACGTTGACTTAAAAAAAGTCAAAATGAATGCTTTTGCATTTCTTTTTTTCATCTGTATTAACAATGTATTGTAACAGGGTTCACAAACCACAATACATATCATGTTGTGAAATTTGTTTGTCCTTATTATACAAAGAAAATGTAATGCCAGCTTTTACATTATTGTCAGCTGCTATCTGCTGCCTCCATCACACTGGACACTGTCCTATTGGGTGTTATTTTATGTTCTCCTTTTGCAGAATTTGGAGTGTACTGCTGCCACTGTCGGAGCCAGGCCAGGGGAACTCAGTGTGCTGTGTGTAAACGCTTTACTTTCCAATGTGCTATCTGCCATGTGGCTGTGCGTGGCTCCTCCAACTTCTGCCTGAGTTGTGGGCACGGTGGGCATACCAGCCACATGATGGAGTGGTTCCGCTCTCAAGAGGTTTGTCCAACAGGCTGTGGCTGCCACTGTCTACTCCAAAGCACTTTTTGAAGCCTCTTTAAATCCCTCAATGCATCCAACCAGGTCCCAGGATGTGCCTCAAACCTCTTAGTACTGTAACAAGGCTTGGTCTGCCCATCTTAGCAGACCATGCTGTCACTCTGTGAAACAGCACTGAAAAACACAATGGATTCTTGCACTGCTCTGGCCGACTGGCCATAATGCAAGTAACACTTACAGTTAGGATGGATTGAAAATAGCCTTATTTAGTAATATACATTCACAGGATAGCACAATTTTTGTTCTTATTTTTAAATTGATGTAGTTTGATTGCTCTACATGGTGCCAAGAAACTGAAAGTGAGCACCTGTAGAAAGAGAACTAAATGTGCTGCTGATTTTACAATCATGGTCATGTGGCCTAAAAAGTGTTTTCTTCTGTTTCAGTTTGTTTGGTCTTTTCATTTGAAAAGAATATTTAAGTATTGTGCTCTTCCATAAGGGAATATTGAAGGACTAACCAGCATTTACAAAGTTTATGCCATCAATTCAGAAATAAATTTGTTTAAGTACCTGCACATTTTGCTTAACATTTCATATACTGCTATTCTCCTGATATGCTACACTACATACTACATATATTTTTTCCCCATACTTGCTAGGCAGGGCAGCCTAACACCTGCACTACTATGAAGCCACACTTTTGTAATACATGAAGAATGTGGACGTCCCTGAAAAAGATTGCTCCAAAATGCGTATGTAACCCTCAGCACTAATGTTGCCTTCACAGATGTACAAGTTACCCATACCATTGACACTACCATACCATGACAGATGGTGGCTTCTGAACTTTGCTTTGGTTGAATGGTCCTTTTACTCTTTGGCCCAGAGAACACAATGGTGACTGTTTTCAAAAACAGTTTCAAAGGTGAACTCGTCAGGCCACAGCACACATTTCCACTTTGCATCAGTCTATCTCAGATGAGCTTTTGAGAAGTCGCAGCGTTTTCTGAATGTTGTTGATATGGATTCTGATTCGCGTAGTAAAGTTTTTACTTGCATTTGTAGATATAGCTACAAACTGTGTTTACTGACAGTTTTCCAGAGTATTCCCGAGCTCATGTGTTTACATTCATTACAGAAGCATGTCGTTTTAATGCATTGCCGTCTAAGGGATCGAAGGTCATGCATATTCAATATAAGTTTTTGGCCTTGCCCTTTATGGACAGGATTTCTCCAAATTCTCTTAATCTTTTAATAATATGGACTATAGACAGTGAAACCCTAAAGTCCTTGCAATCATGCATTGAGAAACATTATTCTTAAACTACTGGACTATTTTCTCCCAGACTTTTTTACAAAATGGTGACTAAGCATTTTGTGAATGCTCCATTTATACCCAAACATGCATCACCTGTTACCTATTCACCTGTTTACTTGTGGAGGTAGTTTTTGATCATTCCACAAACTTCCCTGTCTTACATTTCCCTGTCCCTGTTTTTTGGAATGTGTTGCAGGCATCAAATTTAGAATTAGCATATATTTGCAAAAATCAATAATGTTGATAAGGTAAAATATTATATCTCTTTTATGTATATTTAAATATAATGTATTTTATATATTTAAATATAATATCTCTTTTTTGGGCATTTTATCTGCTGTCCCAGTCTTTTTGCAATTGGGTTTGTAGACCACCACACTACCAGTAAAATCTGTAAGCTTCATCATGGTAAAAGGGGGCTAATTTCTAAAATAATCTCAAATAGAAGATAGATTTTATTTGTTTAACACTTTGGGGTCATTGCACAATCCATGTTTTTGCTAATACAGTGAACAGAAACAGAAAGAACTAGAGTCGTTTATCTGACCAGATTGAAGAGATCTTCTAAAAAAAAAAACAACCTTAGACTTTCGTAAGAAAGTGAATCATATGATTCATTCCTGGATGAATCACATGACTCCCGGTTATGAGTAGACTGTCACAACTTTAAGCAAGTGTTTTACATCAGGGAAATTACTGCACAGTTCTGTGAGTCTCCAGGACTTGATTTGCCTCCTGTATTAGTGCACCACAGACACTGTAGCCAAAGTGAAAGATGTTTTACATAGATTTGATTGTTAAAACCAGCCTCATGAATTTGCATACTGAGAATCGGAGGACTGGTCAGCACTGACAAATGATGGCACTGAGATTCAGATTATTGTTACAGTTTAAAGGAGTGCTCAACCTCATTTGATCAAGGCCTCGAGTCTGAAACAAAGGACAAATGGCAATGAAGTCCATTTTAAATGTATGTACTGTGAAAAAGCTTGTTCTGTGTACATACCAGACACTCAAACTGGGTGACCTGTACCTACAGCAGTCTCCAATAAGTACACCAAGAACTTATTCTATTAACTTCAGTAGGATGGAATTGATTGACATTAAAAATGAAGTAAATGGACATTAAACAAATATAAAAGTTAAAACTGTCTGAAGGAATTGTAAAAAATACTCATTTTTTTAGTGGTCTTTAGTGGCCTAGAATATAGAACATCTTGAATTTTAGACCTCTGTTTTCAGGATACACATTCAGCATGAAACTGCTCTTACAGACAGACATAAAATAATCGATGAGTTTATGATGTTTTAGCTTCTCCAGCTGAGAGAGACTCCAGCACTGTCAGCTCCAGTGACTCTTTTTATGGAATTGTTGTGTTGTCCTACAAGCCAAACCAGTTATTCTGAGCATTCTGTTGTTATTAACCACTTTACTGCTGATACGTACAACATGCCAAAGGATCTCAGTGATTTCTACAATACTTCAAATGCTATTTTGTCAGTTTGTGGTCTCTGAACTACTGGGCCCATTTAACCTATATTGTAACCCAACAGCCCTCAAGTTGCAATTTTTCTAATACAGATGCATCAGACAAATCAAATGTGACGGACATCGTTTTTTCTCAAACTCATTAGACTTAGAATACGTTTTCACTTGGGTCCACAAAGCTTCATGAAAAGTTGCCAATAGGTGGCATTATAACTTTTTTATGTTATGTTTTTGTGTTGGTCCTTTGCAATTACACAGTTTATTTTGCCTGATGCACTCTCCATTGTATTTTACTGTCCTTATCCCCTAAAGTGTGCTACTGTTCATTAGAGTTGTGCCTTCTGGTAGTTGCCAACACTCCCTCCCGTTTTCTCAAGAATGCTTACTTACTTACTTACTTGTTCGTCCATTTATTTGTATAGTTATTTATATTTATGTAAAGTAAATCCATGTGAGTGGTGATCTACTGTGCTCACTAACCTGAAGAGAATATGATTTTTACAGAAAAAAACCTTGGATTCTGAGAATCACATAATGATTTGTGTATTTTGCAGAAATATAGTTAGTATACTTTGAAAAAGCACGACATGCGTTTTTTTTAACCACGCCATGGTTACATTTTTGCCCTCTAGCCATGATTATTGTTTATTGTGTTTAAATTGTAAGAGTAGCATACTCTGCCGTGACTAAAAACTGGTAGTTCCCATTTCACATGCTATGCTTGTAACTGCTAATTCCTGTTTTAGATGCTAAAAATTGCTGTCAACCATATACTTTTGTGGTAAGCAAGTCATTGACCCTGCACCTTTAAGAAATAAGGAGCTGCAGACATTGTAATAGATGGAGACACACAAGCCTTTGTGTAGAGATTATAGTTAACTTGATTAAACCTGACTAGAATGTGCACAGCCATGAGAGTGAGAGAAACCTCTGTTGAATTGACCTAGTCAGCATGGCTGCGCTTCAAGGCTGATCTTTTTTGTTGGAAAAACAAATGTCTGTTTTTTTTAGTTGTGTGATTTCGACAAACCCAGGAATGCTGTGCTTTCTAGAGAGCTTTAGTGCTGAAGATGAATTCAGATTATAGTGGATTATAGCATCATTTTATTATTTTAAATACAGTATGTCATTATAATACTTTCTTCTTGCCACCGAAACTGTCTAGTGCTGTACATGACAATCCTAGATTCTGCACAGTGACTGTCACATTATGGTAAGACATAACTAGGATATTTAAAATAATCAAAATCCATGGAAAATGACAGGATGTTTGACTCTCATCAAAAATTGTGTCTCGCCAGCTTATTCTCTGAGCTCAGTGTCACTAATTTAATCGCTCCCAGTACAGGTTAACTTGCATTCCTCGCCCCCCTAATTTATCCTGAACATGCTTCATTGTTGCAGGATAATGAACGTACCATTATAACTAGATCTCCTTGTATTTTCATTCGACAGATTTGGAACATTGTGTAAAAGCAGGGAATGAACACTTTGCACAACTTCTGAAATCTCCAGGCAATTAGTGTTTGACCCACAAACGATCTAGCATGCACAAAGCCAAAGCCAGACTAATACAGAATCCAATTACTGCGGTGCAGATTACAGCAAATGCTTTGATGTTTCTTCATCCTAAAAAACATTCCTTCCAGAAATTGAAATATTACTTGCTGAAAATAAGTCACACAACATTATTATTACTTTTTTTATTTTTAAGAGTATTGATTTGTTTCTTTGACTGTGGCCTGGGCACTTTAAGCACTGGAGAATTCTCTATTTCTAATATGAGTAACTGTCAGTGAAGATTTACACAGTTGGTTTTCTAACAGAGATACTCCATTTACAGCACAATGATGTGTAATGCCAATTAACCAAAAAATTATACTTGTGACATTTCTTTGATTTACTTGCTAGCACTGGACTTCACAATGCTTGCTGGGGCTGTTTTTGTACTCTCCAGGTACAGTCGAATGCAAAAGTTTGAACACCCTCTGTTAAGTTGCGTATTTTTTTTATTTTCTAAGTGAAACTAATTGAACACATTCTGTACAGGGAACGCACTTAAATGTTGGATTTTCTGCACAGTTTCTATTTATTTGTTGAGTTTAACATATGGGAAAAAATAAAACAAAATATAAAATGTGCCATTACTTTTGCACTGGCATTTTATGTTTTATTTTTTCCAATATGTTAAGTTCAGCAAATAAACAGTACTTGTGCATTAAATTTTGCAGGAGCGTGTTCTCTGTAGAAGATGCTAACTTACAGTGGTGTGAAAAAGTGTTTGCCCCCTTCCTGATTTCTTATTCTTTTGCATGTTTGTCACACTTAAATGTTTCAGATCCCCAAACAAATTTAAATATTAGACAAAGATAACACAAGTAAACACAAAATGCAGTTTATAAATGAAGCTCTTTATTATTAAGGGATAAAGAAATCCAAACCTAAAGGGCCCTGTGTGAAAAAGTGATTGCCCCCTAAACCTAATAACTGGTTGGGCCACCCTTAGCAGCAACAACTGCAATCAAGCGTTTGCGATAACTGCCAATGAGTCTTTTACAGCACTGTGGAGGAATTTTGGCCCACTCGTCTTTGCAGAATTGTTGTAATTCAGCCACATTGGAGGGTTTCCAAACACGAACTGCCTTTTTAAGGTCATGCCACAGCATCTCAATTGGATTCAGGTCAGGACTTTGACTAGGCCACTCCAAAGTCTTAATTTTGTTTTTCTTAAGCCATTCAGAGGTGGACTTGCTGGTGTGTTTTGGATCATTGACCTGCTGCAGAACCGAAGTGCGCTTCAGCTTGAGGTCACAAACAGATGGCCGGACATTCTCCTTCAGGATTTTTTGGAAGACAGCAGAATTCATGGTTCCATTTACCACAGCAAGTCTTCCAGGTCCTGAAGCAGCAAAACAGACCCAGACCATCACACTACCACCACCATATTTTACTGTTGGTATGATGTTTCTTTTCTGCAATGCTGTGTTACTTCTATGCCAGATGTAATGGGACATACACCTTCCAAAAAGTTCAACTTTTGTCTCATCAGTCCACAGAGTATTCTCCCAAAAGTCTTGGGGATCATCAAGATGTTTTCTGGCAAAACTGAGATGAGCCTTTATGTTCTTTTTGCTCAGCAGTGGTTTTCATCTTGGAACTCTGCCATGCAGGCCATTTTTGCCCAGTCTCTTTCTTATGGTGGAGTCATGAACACTGACCTTAACTGAGGCAAGTGAGGCCTGCAGTTCTTTGGATGTTGTTGTGGGGTCTTTTGTGACCTCTTGGATGAGACGTCGCTGCGCTCTTGGGGTAATTTTGGTTGGCCGGCCACTTCTGGGAAGGTTCACCACTGTTCCATGTTTTCGCCATTTGTGGATAATGGCTCTCACTGTGATTTGCTGGAGTCCCAAAGCTTTAGAAATGGCTTTGTAACCTTTTCCAGACTGACAGATCTCAATTACTTTGTTTTTCATTTGTTCCTGAATTTCTTTGGATCACAGCATGATGTCTAGCTTTTGAAGATCTTTTGGTCTACTTCACTTTGTCAGGCAGGTCCTTTTTAAGTTATTTCTTGATTGAGAACAGGTGTGGTAGTAATCAGGCCTGGGTGTGGCTAGGGAAATTGAACTCAGCTTTCCAAAGATGTGATAAACCACAGTTAATTTATGTTTTAAGGGGGGGGGGCAATCACTTTTTCACACAGGGCCCTGTAGGTTTGGATTTCTTTTTCCCTTAATAATAAACACCTTCATTTATAAACTGCATTTTGTGTTTACTCGTGATATCTTTGTCTAATATTTAAATTTGTTTGGTGATCTGAAACATTTAAGTGTGACAAACATGCAAAAGAATAAGAAATCAGGAAGGGGGCAAACACTTTTTCACACCACTGTATTTAGAATAGGGTGCCCAAACTTTTGCAAACGACCATATGTTAGTCTTGAGTGTTATGTATGAAATTCGTGTAGCATATGAAAAATTACTTAAAGTAAACGTTTATTCCATCTGTAGAAAAATTAAGCATTCACACACACACACACACACACACACACACATGTATATGGAGTTTTTAAACACCTCAGTTTCACTGCTGGACTGAGAATAGCCCACCAACCTAAAATATCCAGCCAACAGCGTCATGTGGGCAGCGTCCTGTGTCCACTCATGAAGGACGACAAACACCAACTGTGCAGCAACAGATGAGCTATTGTCTCTGACTACATCTACAAGGTGGACCAACAAGGTAGGAGTGTCTAATAGAGTGGACAGTGAAAGAACACAGTGTTTAAAAACTCCAGCAGCACTGCTGTGTCTGATCCACTCGTACCAGCACAACATACTTACATGTCAACACCACATCAGTGTCACCACAGTGCTGAGATTGATCCACCACCCAAATAGTACCTGCTCCCTGGTGGTCCTGGTCATTGAAGAACAGGGTAAACGGGGGCTAACAAAGTATGCAGAGAAACAGATGGACTACAGTCTGTAATTGTAGAACTACAAAGTGCACCTATATAGGAAGTGGAGTTGATAAAACAGACAATGAGTGTAGAAACAAGGAATTGTACTTTTATGAAGTGGCTGATTGATGTATATGCAAATATATTACATATCACTGCTGTTGAAGAAAACCTTGTACCTCCATTTTTCAGGTTTTCAGTTTTTGATGTAATTTGAAAGTACTTGTTACCCTTTACATTCTGTGAAAATCTCATGATGAATGGACAAAAAAGAAATGACCCAAAATGACTTGGAAAAAAATTCCACTGACTTACATTAAAAGTAAAGTACGTTTTTTCTTTCTCCTGTAAAATTATCATTTGGAGATACGAGGTTTTCTTCTGACAACAGTGATATAAACCTCATAACATGCACAGATCACATACATGAAAGCCTGGCCTTCTCTGGGTGAGGCCCAAGTTACATGCAATCATCAACCAGCTAAATAAACTATACAGGTGAAATCAACTAATAAAAAGCAAATACACAGAAATTGGAAACACCTGACAGAGCTTTTGATCTGTTTCTAAAATCTCTTCCTCGTGAAAAGAGTTCTCTCTGTACACTCAGCCTATAACTTTTATAACACCATAAAATGTCTTTTATGGAGTTGCAAGATTAGGCAATGCTTTAAAAGTCAATAATGCGAACACAAAATATGGCTTGAAAGAACATGGGGTCATGGGACACGACGAATAAGGCTTTTGTTTGAATGAGCAGTTTAAAGCCTAAATTTACACGCAGACCTTCTCCACATGAGTCTAATTGTGGGAAATATGAGGAAGAATGCATAAATTGCTGTGCACGTGCCATGCGCTCTTGCATTTGGATAATACTGTAATGGATGCACAATGATATTGTGATCAGTAAGTATCGGCAGATAATTGCAGATCAAAAAACAGAATGTGATGGGCTACTGCACTAAAATTCCTGCATTTTGTTAATTTTACTGCATGTGTAATCTTATAATTATATTCATCTGTAATGCAAATACATGTAGTAAGTTAGCAGAATTTCCACATTCTACTTATTTATGTATTTATCAGTATCAGTATCGGTATATTTATCGGTATCAGTATAGCTATCGGCAGATACGTGAAAATTAGCGGCATCGGCCCGCAATTCCCATACTGGTGCGTCCCAACTGTAAATCAATTCAATTTAACGAGTCTATTTAAGTGTGTGTGCTTCAAATGCCTCGTAAAATGTGGGTTGACGTGCAAACACTAAGTTACTCCACCTGACTGTTATGACCATACCGGGTTGTCCGCTGAAGACGGCAGCAGCCAGTAGGTGCCCAGTGCAGTCCAGTCCGCCCCCCAGCGCCCGCGCAGCCGCTTTTGTAGCGGGGGGAGAACAGGCGCAGGCGGCCGAGCCGAGTCGAGCTTAGCCGTAGCCGAAGATGGCGGCGTGCGGACGTGTTCAGCTCCTGCTGCTGCTGACGGCCCAGTTCTCTTGCGTGTTTCTCACACTGGGGCTCAGACCGCAGCCGAACGTCAACCTCCATCCTCCGCTTATCGCCATTAACCGGCAGCTTAAAGCCGGAGCCGCCTCGTCGGTGTCTCAGCCCCGGAGAGCCAGCGGCTGGAGGCTGGCCGAAGAGGAGGCCTGCCGGGAGGACGTGAGCCGGCACTGCCCCAAACACACCTGGAACAATAACCTAGCCGTGCTGGAGTGCCTGCAGGACACGAAGGAGGTGAGCTGGGCGAGCACACATGCGAGTGAGACTTGTTCTGTGTAAGCTAGCGTTGCTAACGCAAGTTAAGAACTTGCTTATGTTGACTTTTGCAGACCGCGCTACGTTTACTCCAGTATTAAAATTAGCTCGCTATAAAGACCATAAACAGTGGCGTTCCCCTTAACGTACTAACAGCATTGGATGTATTTCTGTTGGCTTATCGTTCCAGCTTTAGGTTAGTTAAACTTCTCATATTTTACATGCTGTGTTAAAAGTTATCTCTTCGCTGGCTAGATAAAATCGGTTTGGTCAGTAACACTGAATGATGAAATGTTAAATTTGGCTCGCTCTCTCACACCTTCAGTTCACAGAGTATCAACCGCACTGAGCCCGCTGCTGTTGGCTCTTGGCAGCTACAGCCCCTGACATGCTGTCTGGCTTTCCCTGCAGTTTCCCTGCTAATGCTGTACAGGCTCAAATGGTTGCTGGCTAATGGTATATTACTGGGGAATTATATGCCGCAATGTCAGTGTGGAAATACTGTTTCCTAATGTTTTTCATGGGGTTTTGCCTCATACTTTGGCACAGTGACCTAGTTCAAAGAATGCTGGCCAGCTGAGAGAATAGAGTCCCTTTCCTCAGAGTACTGATCTGTGATAGTATAAAGCCAGATAACTATATAAATACATTTGCTGGTGTTGATAAGATGAAAAAAGCAAAACTGGCAAATTTCTCTGAAGGCTGTGAAGATAGTTCTGCCGCCATAAATCGTGATATTGGGCTTGGTTTTGTCTCTTGGCTTTGTTTGCTGGCCCTTGTCATTTAGCCTTGGTTAGGTTTAACTGTAGGCAGTGAATGTAGCCATGGAATGAAATGAGTGGAATGTGTTAGCTGTATGCTTAAAAATGGCTCCATTATTTGTTTGCTTCTTTCACACACCCCCCCTTATCGGTTTCATTTTTCTCCTTACCTCTCTCTGTCCTTGGCTATGCTGCCACGCACATTTTCATAAGCATAAGGGCAAAGTTCATTTGCTGCAAGACACAAAAACAGCACTTTTGCCTTTTTCTGGGAAAGTGACTGACGAAGGTATGCAGTGAGAGCTTGTGTCCAGCACCACACTCTCATTATGGTCATAAGTTAAATGACCTGTGGGTTAACCTGTCCCTGTCTGTCCTGCAAGTGGAACACTACCTGACCCTTTCTCTTCACCCTCTCTCTTAGTAATTCAGTGGCTGAGGCTACTCATTAGAGCTGAAACAAGGGCCTGCTCTCCGTCTTTGAAACTGATTCCTGCGCTTTCTGTATTAAATACTGAAATAACTTCTGGATGTGGGAGTTATTTCAGAACTCAGAATCTCTGAAACTCCTATGCAAGTTTTACAAGAATTCTGGGAGCAAGGCTGTTTTCCTTTGGTCCAGAAATTACTTCAGGAACTCCATCTGAAAATCTTCCCTGTTCTAGAAGTGGGGACTAGTGTGGGGAGCAAAACGCTGACCTGATGGTTCCCCTAAAATTGCGGTACAGTCGTTGTTAAATGGTTGATTGTTTCTAAAGAGATAACAATTTCTGGCTGCAAAGATTGTCATGCTGCACTGCTATTTGGGAAATAAGACCCTGATTCTCTCATGCTGGTGCCTTTCTGTGAGGGATTTATACTATTTTTCAAACTCTCTAGGCCCAGTTTTTCTAATGAATGTATGATCATATGTTAAACTCTGATACTGAGGTGCTGGGAAGGAAGGAGAGAGACGTAAAGCGTCACCTGAAGGATTCTCAGATAGATGCCTGCCAGAAAAAGGGCTTTTGACTAAATTAGTCTGTCTAATCAAGTCTTTTTTTCCTTTCAGTTCTACGATAAATTTGGCTCAGAGGCCTTAAAAAAAGAAATTCAAAATTTTGTGTGTGAGAGAGAAAGTGTGTGGGCTCTATGCTACTCTGTCCTCAGGTAACCCCTAAGTGAGTATGTAGCCATTCTCCTTAAAACAAGGTCATGCAGGATTCTTCATATTTTAAAAGCATTGATGTCTGACTTTTTTTTGCAGCGAAATGTGTTGTGACACAGAAGCACCACTGTATGATTTATCTTCTTTCAGTTCCTGGTTCCAAATCACTAGCATTCTGTATTGAGTTATAAAAGTAAATCTAATCAGTAGCATCAAACTCATTATAACAATTTTTGATCAATAGATATGGTATGACTTGGCCTGTAATTTCTCCCTACTTCTCCTGATGTGGCATGCAAAGTTCCTTCCCCAGCTATTGTTTGCTTCTTTCAGCATATCACTGAGTAAGGCTTTAATTATTGCCATAATTACTTTGCTGGGGCTCAGTAACAGCTGTGGCCTTCTGAAGAGCTAAATGGAGCCTATAAATCTCTCCCTCCCATCTCCCCCAGGCTAGACTCTTCAGGGCTTGTCTTTCTGGCAGAGATGCTGCAGGGAGAGGGGAAAGGTGGCCCAGACACAGCTGCACCTTGTCTCTCATTCACTAGCTTCACTCAATTTCATTTGCATTTTGAGCAGGCTGTTCATATGCGTGTTGTGGAGGGTTTCAATGTAAACAAAGGGCCCAAGTGTGACTGATGTAAATATAGGAAATATTCCTGAGGGACTGATGGAGAGACATCAGGCCTGATGGAGAGCTTGATTGAATCATGGCAGGAGGAGGAGACTAAGATAAGCTCGTGAAGGAAATGAAATGGCATGATGCTTAATCAAGTTATTGCTGTTGATTTGTTTGGAATGAAGGAGATTTGGTTCAGAAGAGAGAGTTTGGTGTGTGTCCACGTGCATGATGTGGAGGCATTCTGTCTTGTCTGTGCGAAGTAAATGTGTGACAGCCAGTTCTATTAGGAGGAAAGTGTATGGATCGATACCAGCAACTTTTATAAACGATTAGTTCCGTCAGTGTGAGTGTAGTTATCACAAGCTTCTTCTGCCTGTAATTAGTCCTTTTGCTGTGTTTGATGTGTCTGCAAGCGAAGCGCACCTGCTACACCCGGAGCTGTCAGTGGCCAGTCGAAGACTGACTCAGAGATGCTGTAATGGGCCTTGCTTCCTGCAGGGAAAGATGATGTGCCTGCTCTTTGTTCCAACAGTAGTTATAGTGGTCTTGAGGAGTGTAAGTCTCTGTGGGTGTGTAAAGAAGAGATGGATCAACGTAGTGTTACACAATCTATTAAATGTTAAATGCTTTTTTCAGTACCATGTTCAGTACGCTAACTAGGCCTGTCATGATCAGGAGATTTTAGCTGCCTTTTATGTCACTTGTTAATAATTGATTCACAAATGATCTTTTTTGTTCACTATGCTACTATTAAAATACACATCTACAATAGTCAGATTGGCTGATTAGATATCTTGCTTCCTTGCTGTCAATATGTAGTAGCTCCCAACTGAAGACAGACACAGCTCAAGCTCAAATCAGTCAAATCAAGACCAGTGATGTGTCTGAATAAATGCATGTTCTACTTTCTTTTATTTACATTCATTTGCCCAAGTAATACACCCAATTCTCATTTCATATGTTGCAACATAAATATATGACACAGTACAACCATGGAATATAATTGCGATCATTGTGACAGCCTAAATACTAACTTTTTTGAAAGTTTCAGTTCTTTATTGACATTGTATTCTGCCTAATAGCAAATCAAGTTCCATGTTTTTATTCCAGCAGCATAAAATTATACAATTTTATTTAGCCTTATACTCCCAGAAACAATGAACAGAGTAGACATTTTCTACTTGATTTAAACACAGTGTGATGAATGAATACTGTGAGACTATGTTTGTAAAAGGCTAATACTGAGGCTTTGTTGGGGAGTATAAAGGTAAAGTCACACGTGAGGAATTTCTCAGACCAAGGCCTGTTGGAAAAAGGGCTTTTTTATGTGCTGATTAGCTTTTTGACCTGTTTAGCCAATCGAGTCTTTCTCTTTCAGTTGTACATCTGACTGCATGTCTTAATCTAGCTGGCCTGTGCATTTGAAACATTACAATATTCACACAAAATGTATGATACTGGCTGTCCTCATCTAACTGATGTTCTCTTCAGAACATGCTGAATGAGGTCATGCTTAAATTATTTAGTTGCTTATTTGATGTATTTATCATTTGAAGAATTTTGTATTAATGAAAAGATTTTATCACAGAACATCAGATATATTAATTAAAGTACCAGTTTTAATTTTTTTTCTTTGTTCAGTCCAATAATCATTTGATGTTTAGACAATGAATTTCAGTTTCTTTGCTATAGTATTGTTTTAAAATGGCCTTACCATGTATATACTTTGGATTTTTGGATTTTTCCTATTGTACAAATACATTATATGGCTAAACGTGTGTGATCAACTGACCATCGCTCGTATATGAGCTTGTTGGACGTTCATTTCCAAAACCATGGGCATGAATATGGATTTGTCTCCCCTTTGCGACTATAACAGCCTCCACTCCTCTGGGTCGGCTTTCCACAAGATTTTGAGTGTCTGTGGGAATTGGTGCTCATTTATGAGGACAGGCACTGATGGTAGATTAGAAGGCCTGGTTTGCAGTCAACATTCAAATTCATTCAAATTCAAGGTGTTCAGTGGTCAGGGCTCTGTGCAGGCCACTGGAGTTCCTCCACACCAGTCTCATCAAGCCGTGTCTTCATGGACCTTGCTTTGTACACAGGGGCACAGTGTTGGTGGACAGGAAAGGGCCTTCCTCAAAGGCTGCATGGTTAGAAGCGTGTAATCATCTAAAATGGCTTTGTATGCTGTAGCGTTAACATTACCTTTCACTGGAACTAAGGGACCTAGGCCAAACCCTGAAAAACAGCCCCGACCGTTATCCCTCCTCCAACAAGCTGTACTTTTGGTACTATGCATTTCAGTGGGTAGTGTTCTCCTGGCATCCGCCAAATCCAGATTCATCCATCAGACCACCAGATAGTGAAGCGTAATCCGACACTCCTGAGAACACATTTTTACTGCTCCAGTGGTGGCGTGCTTTACGCCACTCCAGCTGATGCT